AGAGCTGCCTACCTCCTCACAAAGAAGAAAGGGTGGGAAAAGCCCAGGGATGAAGCCAAGGAAGTCAAAATTCTGCAGTCCCCCACACCAGACACAAACACTGTGCCCTGAGCTGAACCAGGGCATGAATGGAGCTGCTGCATGGGACCACTGGATTTTAGAGGATTTGAGGGAGACGGGACATAAAAGCGCATTGGATTCTACATGCATGTCAATATTTTAGCTCTACTGCCATGATCCTTAACCAACATAAGGCAAGACATTTAAACAGCAACAAATCAAGAAACCAACCCATAACATCACTACGACAAGTGTAAATGAAGCCCTGTACACCACCAACAGATTCGGGCCTTATAAGTTTCCTTCTATTCCTGCAGGGAATTTGCTGCCTGAGAAAAGTCACGCATCTTCCCTTCCAAACAGGGAGTATCAGATGGCATTTGCCTTCTACTAACGCTCGCAGCCTTTGTGGATGGCAGTGAATTGCCAGCCAGTCTTAATCATCATAGATGCTGTCCTACGCAACTACAGTACGTAGCTTATATGCACTTTGATTGCGCAGATCTAGGTCAGCATCCTGCATCCTGACAAATGTCAGATGAGAACACTTATTTCTCCTTTCACACTTGTCATCGGCCGAGCTGGTTATCAGCCCCATTTTGCAGCCGGGGGAATGAAGCACAAAGCAGCGAAGTGACTTGGCTCTGGCCATTTTGCAGGCCCGTGCCTCCAGGAGCAGCACCCCCAGAAGCAAGTCCCAGGCCCTCTAAGTCACCACCCAGGGCCACACCACATCCATAACACTCAAAATGGTGCTGGGAAGATATACATGGCAGGGGGGCAACAAAACTCACTTGTAGAGAACAGCAGTTAGGTTCCTCAATCATCTACCTGAGTTTACTGCAGTTTCAGGTGGCTCGTGCAGTTTTCCCCATGATGACAGACCAGAACTTAAGACAACACCCAGAGACTTCCAACAAGCTCCACCATATTCTTTCCTTGCTCACCAGCCAGAATAAGCACTTGAGGTTTTGGATCCTTTTCTTTAAGCCCTGCAGAACGGGTCAGGAATCTCACAGAACAACCCTTCATGCTCTATTTCATCAAATCTGCCGGATGCTAGCAGAGAGACAAACATGAGATTAGATATACGAAACCAATGGAACATTTCACCATCCAAAAAAAGGGCTCTGTCACTATGATTGAATAGCTTCTGCTCCTGCTTCTGATGTCTCATGTCAGAAGGGGCAGATGAGAAAGGGCTGCGTGGCAGAAACAGCTTCACAGAGGAGTCTGGTAACTGGCAACCAGACAGCTCCGTATCAGACATCCACAAGGTTCCCAAGAGCCAGACAGCAACTGTTATCCTTTTAGGACTGAAATCTGTCTGTTTGTCCAAAAATATGTGCTGTCTGAACATCAGCACTTTTTATTTCAGTTTTGGAGTTTTTGTTGACTTTCACTAAATTGCCCTCATTATTCACTGCATGAGACCTTCCATCCACTCAGTGTTTCAGTTGTTTTTTTTTCCATCTCTTCTAAACTCTTTTTCCATTTTTGTGGATTTCAAAGTAATTTGGTGCTAAAATATTTTGGGTGAACTTAGAATAGAGATGATGCTTTTAATTTTGGAAAAAAAAATCTTTAAGCTACGGTTTCATTGCTGCTCATTATACACGTGAGCAAAATTTTAACTTTTTTTTTTTTTTAGAAGGAAAATGCAACCAAATAAAAGCTGCTCTTTGCTGATTCTTGGCATTTGTATTCCCCATAGCTGCCGCCATACAAAGCCAGACCACAGCACTGGGGTTTAGACCCCAGGAAAGGTGAAGTTATATTTTTAGAGGGACAGTACAACAAGAGGGAAGAACCACCCCATACCCCACTTTCCCACAAAGCCCAACAGCAAACCATCCTTTGGCTCTTTGGAGAAGGAACAGAGCTCAGACACCTACTGTCCAGAGCCCACAGCACACTGCTGACGCACGCCACTCACCTCCACACATGGTGAGTGAGCATCCCTGGGTCGGAGCCGTGTTGCAGTGACCTTGCACAGTCCCCAAGAGCTGGCAGCTCAGGGTTCCTGCCTCCTGCAGCAGCGCGATAACCAAGTGGCCCTAAGGCACTGCCTGACCTGAGGGGCCTCCTGCCAGAGCTCTTCAAGATCACAGAATTGTGATCACTTGCCGCAAAAATTGTTGTCTTGCTCCAGATTCAAAATGATTTAAGACTTTCTTGGACGCCTTAAGTTCTCCTTTTCCTCCTATGTCATCCCTTTTTTAAGGACAAAGTAGTTATTTGTGTGGGGATGCAAGCAATGCTAGGATGCCAACACAGTCCTGAGACTACTACCCTGCTGATACTAACACCGTATGCATGGCCTGTTGCTGTATTTGTTCCCTTTTGAGCACAGACTAGCTACAAGACCACATTAAACCTTCACCTTAGACCCTTCCACTGCAAGCAGTGGCTTGAGCACAGTATTCAGGTTGGAAGGAACTGGAGCTCTCCACATGTCCCCAGCCCAACACAGACAGCGTTTGTACCCAGCACATGGCACAGAAGGGGCAAATCCAGCTCCCCCTTGAGATCCCAACAAACAATGTTTGTTGGTGACACAAACATCTGATCTAATGAGATCCCAGAACAAGGTGGGGGAATAAGCGCACGTTGTAGTAAGGGATCACCAAGTGTTCTGTGCCATTAAGTCAGTGGAATCCATCAGTAACTGAAATGGGGCCACGTTGTCCAAAAGTAAATCCTAGAAGCGCTAGTAAAGGAGGGAATTCAGTAAAAATGCTATTACACAGTGCCACACATGCAACTCAGCTGGTTTAATTCACAGCTTTCCAGCCTTTGGAAGCCTTGACATGAACAGATTTGTGAAGGACCTGAAGCACTAACCACCCCCTTCTTCCCTCTGGTACAGCTTCCTACTCAAACCCTCTGGGACATTAAATCTTCCACTTGCCATATTCTCCTAGGCCAAGAGGATATGAATTTCATAACTCCTCAGCTGAGCTGCCATCAGGAGCCATGAAATACGACAGGAAGCCAACAGCATGGACCTGCTGCACTCCACGCACTCACACGAGCCGCAGGGCTGGACAAGCTATTAAAGAGAGCACACAGCACAGCTGCCTCGAGCCCAGGGGCACGTACAGAAGGGCACGAGTACACTCGATCAAACTGGAGGAGGATCAGAGCAGGACAGAGCCAACACCTGAGTTGAGGCTGGACTTGCACAAGAAAGCCAGTGCTAGCCAGGAGTCACTCGTTATGTTTCTGACTTCAGGGCTTATGCAGGTACCAGCTGACAGCTTGGAAGGGCTGAAGGAGGGAAACAAACCCTTAATTCAAACATTACAGCTACAAAATACTGCAGGTTTCATACTTGAACTTGCACCTCTCTGTTATAACCAAGTTATAGGTGATGTGAACTGGTGAATGGAGCAGACTTCACTGGGCAGGAGAGGTCTTGCTTCCCTCAGCAGGAGCTCTGCTCACGTAGCTGTTTCTCCAGAAAATCACCAAGCCCAAACAGCACAAATTTATTCCCCCCCCCCCCCCAAAGTCTATTACAAGCAAGAAGTTCATTCAGCTACCCTCTCTCACCCGAAGGACTGCATTTTGACCCTCCTTTCAGGATGTTCATAATCAACTAAAGTAAAAGCCAAGTATTCTTAATATGCAAAACAAACAAAAAAAATCATGCTTTACACTTACTGCAGCTTTCAGTCTTTTAAATGAAAAGCTTGAATAGGTAAATAAACCCCAGAAGGAAGCCAATCCTATTGCCAGACAGGCCCTTCTGCAGATACTGTAAAGCCCTAAGACAGACAGCAGAGCTCAGTGCTTCCCCTGGACATTTGGGAACAGAGGAGAGGGGGAGACACTTTGCAGCGGGTTACAGGGTTGGTGCTGCAAATACATCTGACACTGTGCAGTAGGCTTTAGATGCCCAATGCACACCACAACTGGAATAATCAGTAACTGGGGAAGCCCCTTAGGGCTTGGCAGGGGTCATGCAGAAGGGAGAGACCAGCACAAAGTCTTATTAACGCACCCTGTGTGGCAGAAGTCAAACCTACATGAAAGCATGCGCATAAAGGGAGCATTAAACAACCACATGAAGTCTTATGCTATGCAGGTGGACCATATCCGCGATACACTGTAAATCAACTGCTGCAAAGCATCTAGAAGGCCCTTAGTACCACAGATCCTGCCTGCTCTTCCAAATCAAGCTTCACCTACACAAAGGACAGTCAGTAGCATTACAGCCACCCATGTGTTCATGCCACACAATACAGAATTACCATAGAATAGTGATAACATTCATTAATCAACCTGTATCAAAAGCTTTTGGGTGCAACAGTAACTTTTTTATTCTCATAGAAATCCCAGCATTAAAACTGATATGCTTAGTTAAGGAGAAGGGAAGAGAAAAAAATAGACAGACTTGGATTTTTTTGCTCACTGCTTGCCCAAAGCCTCTAATTTGAGCAAGGTTGCAGTCAGCTCTCCATCTGAGCATGATTTGGTGCACTATCAAAAGAATCCCATCACATAAAAGCAGCTTTTAAGAACACAAGATTAACAGATGGACCTTGTGACACATGGCATTTTTCCAACCAGGAAAATACTTGAGCCACACGCTACATTTGTCCAGAAAAACACGCAATCAGGCAACTTCAAAACAAGACAAAACAAGCTCAGCAGAAACAAAATGGCTCCTCGCACGCTCCCTCTTCAGGTGCACTCCAACCCGGATTAGTTATACAGCTTTCAATATTTACAAACTCATTACCAAATTCCAACTTTTTTTTTTTTCTCTCCCCAGAAGAGAACAGTATCTCAAAACAGCCAACTAACTCTTAACACACCCAGTGCTCCATCCTCCCGGGGAACTCGAACACCCCTCTGCAATCTTCCTATCCACCACAGACATTTCTTGTTACGCATACCGTATTTCCAGCCACACATAAAGTTTGCTTACTCACAGTCAGGAGTAGATGGCTGCTTTCCTTCAGTCTCTTCTGGTTGGTCTTGTTTCCTCAGGGTCCTTCGCAGCACGGCTGACTTTGAAGCCTGCAGTTTATTTTAGCCAGTCAATCAGTAGACTCAAGTAAAAGCAACTTCGCCCCACAGCGAGTTTTCCTCATGGCACAAGAAATACTTTTCTCATCCTTTGAGGAGGGCCTGCAGTCACTTGCAAACTTCACATTTGCAATATTACATAGGAACTGAGAACAAAAAGGAGTTCACTTATCACAAATCAACTCAGGTCGCCTTTTCTCCTCTTCTCAGAACAGCACAGACACCAGGTAACACCTCACGTACAGAATGATAGGATTTGAGTCCCAGCACACAACTACTGAACTTGAATCCTCCAGGTAAGGCCCACAGGTAGCCCCAGGCTCAAAGAAGGGAAGATGGTGAGGGACTGAGCTGAAATGGAGCAGAGGGGTGGGGAGGGGACCCAGGTGAGGCTCATCAGAGCACTAAGGCTTCACTGGAGCACTCAGCACCCTGGTAATTTTTACTTAATTGCTGCCCATAGAAGCCAGCTGGATATGGCCTTGCAACTTCTACCTAGAGAAGATTCTGGACTTCTCTAAGGGAATGGCCCTCTTGGAAAACCAGAGAGAAACAAGTGGATTTCTTTCACTTAAATCTTCAAACCCAGCCTAGGTGTCGTTCAGAAATATGGGGTTGTGATCAAGCCTTGCTGCTATCAGGAGTTCAAAACAGCTAACCAGCCTGGTTTTGAATTTGATGAAGCCTATGAACCAGCACAGCTGCTGGTAACATAAGATACCTCTGTCCCTGAAAGATCCTGACTGCTTTCCCTTCCAGTCAAAGTGTCCTTTGGACTTTTGGCCTTAACTCTGCAAGGTGAAGGGGACCCAGACAGGGGCTGACAAAATAGCCTGACAGAAGGCCCTTGTGTGAAACCCTCCCAGACCATGGCACAAAACCCAAAGGGAGCCACGTCCATGAGGATGAGGAGCACACAGGTTCCTCACCAAGGTGGCAGCTTTCTGAAGCTTCACTCAGCCAGCTCCACCTGGCTGGGATATCCCACTCAGCTGGGCTGTAACCTCGCTCTTCTTTCACTTGCTGTTTGTTTTTGCTTCTCCTCTGCCCTCTCGACTCCCTGGAGTTAAGGAGATGAGTTAAACACGAGTACAAGGAATTGTTTTCTTTTTTCTTTTCAATAGTCTTTTCCTTTCCTTCATGCTCTCCTTACCCCTTCCTGCACCCTGCCATCAGCTGCCTCCAGACAGCTTCTTGGCATGTTGTTCTCCTTGCTTTCCCTTCTAAGTCACCAGTAGCATGCTGCCCCCAACGCCGCTGCCTGCTGTGGCAGCGTTTCTGCACCAAGAAGATAATAAATACATCAAGCCTGTCAAAGCCACGCTGTTTTGGCTGGGAAGAGGTGCCCCCCTGCTGGGTGAGATCACTTCCCGCTGCGATGTATGGCTTTCCCCTCACTGACAGCTCTCCAACAGGGAGTAATCGGTGTCCAACAGAGAGGAGTAGCCAGCTAACGCTGCTAAATGGCACTTAGGGCTGATGAGGGCAAAGAGGAGAAGAAAAGGAACATCAGAGTGATACACACAGCCTCTCTCTTGCTGGTGTGGTGTGTTGACAGAGAGACAAACTGGATCTCCTTGCTGGCCCTGCCTGCGGTTTCCCAGCCAGGCAGGAGGTGGCAAAGAGAAAGGGGAAACTGATATTCCTGCTTGAGTCTCAGGGCAAGTGTCAGCCTTAATCCTACAAGGGGATGACACCTGTAGGTCTTGGTGCCAAAATCCATTAGTTAATGTGAAATTAGGAGAGGAAGGACATGAAGCAGGACAGACAGACAACACCTGCACCCGTGTGCTTAGTGGAGGCCAGGCCCTCTGCCCCCCATGCAGCAAATGGCAAGGCTCAGCCCTGAGCTGTGCTCCTGGCACAGGACGGATTTCTGGGACAGGAGCTAGCAGGGAAATGGATTTCCCATGGAAAAATTTCAGAAAGAATTAATTTGGCTTGTTTGCATTTCACAGACATCTAGGATGCTCTGCAGTACCCAGGTACAACAATGGGTTTCTCACCTCTGCGTCACCAGCTCACCTCAGAAAGCTGTCATCCTCACATTGTTTCTGATTAAGACAGATGAATTAGCTCTGTATTCATGGATTTTTTTTTTTTTTTAATTAAAGAAATATAAAAGAGTAAAACAATGATTGAGACACTGTGGCCAGACTGTGAGATACTAAAATGAGTCATCTGGAGTTTCTTTACCCCTAGACCGGCCTCTTCAAAGACACTTAAGGGAATCAATTGCCCGTATCCCACTAAAATCCTCTCTGTATGTGGTTCATGAAGCTCTGAGACCCTTTCCCGCCCCCACAGCCTCCATCCCTCACCTCTGAAGTCTCTCTAGTCCATTATTCCTGAGGCTGATTTGTGAACAATGTGTTCACTTTCCGTACTGCCTAATGAAGATGTTCCTGTCCCTGAATATTGTATCTGCAGCATGCTTAATGGAAAAAAATAGCTATTATTATCATTGGTGGTTCAGATGAGTTTCTTGGCAGTGCGGGTGGTACAGTTATGTGGACAATCAAACAAGCCAGTGATTATTGCCAATGCATTTTTGAGGAAATCATTGCTGTTTAAACTCCAATCACAACAATACCTCATTTAAAAGCATAAAAGCTTTCACTCAGCAGACCTACCTTTTTTTTTAATAGCGAGACAATTAAATAAATCTCCTGACACTTAACCATCATTTACCCAACAGTAAGAAAATGGATTCAATGCCTTCACATTAGTTAGATTATGATATTAAAGCAAAAACTGAACAAGTACAAGCAGGTGAAGGAAGACCTTTGAGGAGTGCATGCAGCACTACAGGTATGGCATGTTTTTTTTGTGTTTTTTTTTTTTCTTCTTTTTTTTCAGGGGATAGGAGGGCAATTTTTTCTTTCCATGTTCAGATATCAACTAAATTCTTAGCATTATTACATTTCATAAATTTCACCTTTCTTGGGAAAACAAGGAAGTTGTCCCTCCATTTATAAACTGGAAACTCAACTATAGCACAAATGATGCCATCCTGAAATTCTTTGCCTAAACCAGGAACTGAATCTGGATGTGCTGGACTGTTCCGCACAGTAACCTTTCTACACTTAAAACTGATTCAAGCTTTGTTTTGCTAGCATTTCCATTAAAACTGGTACCTAGAAACTTGAGTGTAAGTATGGATTAAAGCTCAGGAGGCAAAAAAGTCCAGGATCTAGTGCATTTTTGCTAGCATCTTAGGAAAGAATGAATTATCTTAAAAGACAGCTCCCAAACTAACACTGAAGCAACTGTGACCGACCCTGCACTGGTACAAACATCAGCCATTGACAGATTATAGAGCTTTTATTACCCGTGATCCCAATGGTACCCTTAATCCCTGGCTCTAGCACTTTTCCCTCATTAGGCTCCTCGTGTGAAGAGCATGTTCTTCTGATACCATTATTCAGAAGCTGTTGCTAAATAGCTCCTGAATTTATTACCTTCTGCTGGCTGTCAGCTACAGCATCTGTAGTGGGAGTCCCTTTCTCCTCTCCGAGTAACAACAGCAATGGTACAAAATCCTTGTCTTTTAGGCAGTGTTTGAGTTTGACATGTATTATTACATACTCACAAACCTATGCTGAATTTTATGGTCTCCTTTATAATATGCTGTTCAGGAAAAAAAAAAAAAAAAAAAGGAAGAATGGAAGGGTATCAAATTGATCCAGTCTCATTCCTGACTCTAAATAACTGACAACTGCATAGACAGCTAATTGTTTCCTGACCCCTGCTTATTCAATTTTTAAAGAGTTCCCATAGATAAATGTTATATAAGTGGACCTTTGCTTTTGCCTCCCTCCCAACCACCCTTTTTGACAGAAGACAATATCTGTGCTTCATAAAGATGTTTACTGATGGGCTGGAAAGAGTTAAAACCTCATCTTCCACTCCTCCCTCTTTATCGTTTTAATTGGCTGTTCTGATGACCTGACCACCTCTTTGATACGCATCAAATGCCGGCCCGTGAAATACAGAGCATGTCAGCCTGCCGAACAAGGGTCAACCCGATTGTCAATAAGGCCATCAATCAGACCTGGTGGCATGATGGATCCAATCCAGACCAAAAGTCCCAGCTGGAAACGAAAGAGCCTCCCCGCTGATAAGGCGGTGTGCAGCGCAAGGCCCGACAGCTCGCACCAGGGTCACCAGCCTGGAGGCCACGAGGCGGCAAACTTCAAACTGGAAAAAGGCAACAGTGAGCAAACAACAAACCCCCCAAAACCAACAAAAAAAAAGAAGCCCTCTCAGCCAAGCCAGCGGTGGTTCCGAATCAAAGAAGCTCAGTGAGGTGAGAGAGAGATGGGAGGCCATGCAGGGAGGCGACAAGGGAGGCAGCGGGGAGGTGACCTTCAAGGGCGAAATAGCACACGTCTTGGGTAATGCTTTGCACCCTCATGCTTCTCCTCTGGCCTGTCACCACAGATAGGAAAGGGTGACACTGCCACAAATGAGTGCCACAATTGTACAAAAACGCCTTCACCCCTTCCTCACCCTCCCTCAGTTCTCCAGTGAAGCAAATCAAGGAACAGATCCAAGGGAAAGCCAACCAGTAACTGCCTTCTGGAGATTTTTTGGGGACCACCAGGGAGCTGTAAAAATGCCTGTGCTAGCAAGGAGAAAGCAAGAGTTTAGGATACTGCTGCTTAACTCCTGGGTGTGATGGCTGCACTAGCTGCAGTGGTGGCTTATTTCTCTCTGGACAGTCATCATCACTGCAATCTACTTAAGATCCTCTGCTTAGGGATGGGATGTAAAACAGGGGTGATATTCCAAATAACTCTGCAAGGAGAAGCATCTCTGAGATGTCAGTCATTCCAGAAGCAGGATTTTCAGGTGCCATGACCACACCATGGACACTGGGGAAAGGCATTCCCTCTTGCAAACCTGAGGAAAGACTTGTTCTTTCCAATGAGGAACTAAATGGCATAGAAAGGCCAAAAGACTTTTTGAGCTTTTTTCTGGCTCCATCATGGCTTGGCCTTCTTTGAAGAGAAAAGGTCTGACCTCTCAACAGATCTAAGGTGTGTCTGTAAGGGCAGAAAACTTGAGACAAAGTGCCTCAGCTCAGCACGTGTCACACGGGTAGTACACACACCCTGTACACCACCATGCCCGTTTCAAACCCACAGAAACACAGAAGCATGCACACATGCCATGTGCTGTTTTGAAACACAGGAGCCTGGAAGCAAGATGGATAACGCCAGAAAATACCACTTGGCTTGGAGTACCATCCCTGCTGCTGTTCACGAGAACCTGCTGCCCACGTGCATTCACCAGATGACACCCACCACAGCACATATACAGCCCTTACCACAAACTCACACAGGCATGCACATTTACGCATACACCCCCAAAGACACATCCTCTTTTCCCTGGTGCCCCATCTTTGCTCTGAAGACCAGGCAGTCCCTTGCTAAGTGCTCCACGCCAACTGCCCCAGCTGCCGTGTGCTGGTTTCACACCCTCTGGCTTCCCACCCCTGCCCTCTGCTGCACCTCCTTGTGTGGCTGCTCACGTCTCGTGGCTCAGAGCCTGGTGTGGTGCAAATATTTGCATGCTCTCTGGGAGGAACACAGTGCACTGGCCTCCAGGGGCAGGCTGTCTGCATATTTATTCTGGAATAGCAAACAACGCGGAGAGCAAAGAAGAGAAAAAGCCAGATAAGATAAAAGCGTGTTACCAGGTCTAACATAAAATCAACAAAGACCACAGAGAAAAGTTATCTGCAAAGCCCAGTAAACCCAGCAGCAACTGATTCTAACAGAGGAGCCCTTTTGCAGGTTGGATAACTCAAAGGCTGGGGATACAGAGCTCTTTGTCTGTTGGAGTGCCCAGTATCAGGTCTTTGTAAATCACTGTGTCTTATGACAATTTACATTAAAAAATCTTTTTTGGTCTCTGTCCTGCTCATGCAATGAACCTGCAAATAGCACCTTCATAATGACAGAGCAGAAATAAAAGACTTTCACACATATTATTAGATATGATTGCTCCAGAGCAAGCCGCAGCCTAACATCTGACTGAAGAGTGCTGTGAAACACTGCAGCAGTTCATTTCCAGTATGGTGTGGTACAGGATATTTCTTCTAGAAGATAGATTCACCCAGCTGGAGGGTTTCCTCTGTCATTTAAAAAATATCCACAGTTGATGAAGTTTTAATTCATGTATGTGATTAATTTATAAAGTGAAACAAAGTGTAGTTGTTATACAAACTGCGCAATGATGAATCCACAGGGAAAAAATAGAAGGGAGGTACTAGGAGAACCACATGTGAAAACCATATGGAAGGGTGTTCCACCAGCTTGGAACCAGATGGAAGAAAACATTGTCCCTGGACACTGTACAGAGTCCTACTGATAACACATGATAAATCATTCACTGAGTGTAAGCAGGAGAGTGAACATCACCACATACCAAGCTGCGCAGGGACAACAGGACCACAGGCTGGAGGACGTTAGATAAAAGGCCAGCACTAAATGCTCAGATGTTACCCCTTGTGTAGATCCAATCTCTGCTATTATCAGCAGGGACAACCAGAATAGCTGTAGAAAGAAAAAGCACAGCAGCACGCTTTGAACGCACTGAAAAACCCACAACACAGCTGGGTTTGCAATAATTGGGAGTTGAACATGAATATTGTAGAATTGGGTTGATATTCACCCCTATAAAGAGGACATGAACTTAGCCCTGTACCAACTTCGCTGTATGACCTTTGGCAAGTCATTTAAGGACCTCTGAATTCAAAGGGCATCCTCCCATTTGCTCCAAAGCACTGCTCACCAGCTGCTTTCCAAGCCACACTTCATTTCCCAGGGAAGGAAAATCCTTTCTCCTACACTCCTGCCCACTTGAATTGAGGTTTCTCAGGTACATTGTCTCTCTTCTCAGGAATGACAACTGCTCCCAACAAAAGAGGACTCCAGGTCTGACTGGGTCAGACGAGAGGACAGTAAAAGACACTTAAGTGACACTCAGAGGTAGGTTAGACAGATAATGTGCCTAATATTCAGTAATTTATTTAGCTCATCACTATCAAAAAGCACAGACTTCTGCAGTGGTTCTGCTTGAGCTCAGCGGGCCATTACATTGACGTGGAGTTGCAGATTTCAGACTGACAACTAGTTAAAGCTTTACATCCAGCTCAACTTCCAAATTCTGTTTATGGCCAAGAAGGTCACTCCCGGCCGTCACTCCTCTTCTCTCGCCAGTCTTTCCATTTCTGTTTCGCAGGGAATTTTCTTATTGCGGGGGAGGGAGCCCCATGATAAATATGACTACTTCATGCTCTCAGTAGCTGCCATGTGCACAATTATCTGTATAAGCACCAAATGACTTCTTGCCCTAAGACGGGCCTGAAATTCTCTTCCAAATGCAGTGTTTCTGTTTTGTTTTGTTTTTTAACGGTACACGCCTGTGCAACAGACCCAAGAGCAGGATGGGTCATTGTGCACGGAGACATGCAGACAAGGGAGCTGACCAAAACACATGTAGTATGCGGGACCACCAAAGATGACCCTAAATTAGACCACCCAGTCACTTTGTTGGCTCTATTTTGAGGAGCCCGAATCTCAGAGCAGAAAGCAGTGTCCTCACCCGGGTTCCTTGGCCTGCGTTTTAGACCATCGCGTATCTCCAGTGACTTCCTGCTACTGACCTCTTATAATAAATCATCCTAGCCAGCCTCCCTCCCTCCTGGCAACATCCTGTTCCTTCATCAAAAAAAAACCACCTCCCACTCACAATTCCAAGGTTCGATATCAATCTTAAATAAATGCCTCTCCGGACTCAGCTGCATTCCCTAAGCCACCTTATCTCCTGCCTCTCTAGAATGGCTGCAAATTCAAGATGCATCTGCAGAAGCCTTTCGTGCTTTTTGCATTTCAATTCTACCCTGGTGTTTTCTTTCCTCTCCCCATTTTTTTTTCTTACAGTAAAGAAAATTATGTTCAGGAGAACGTAAACTGCAATATAAATGTGTGCTTATTTTTACTTCAGAAAGGGAAAAAATGGAAGTCCAAAAAGAGAGGGAGCTGGAGTTGTTTTTTTTTTATATATGAAATACAGTGAGAAGAGACCCCACAGGAGAGGTTCTGTTGCATTGTCTCCCTTGCCCTGGCTTCCCTCGCTTCATATCTCGGGTGCAAGAAAACCTGTCAATATATATCTGCCCATCAGAGTACCTTCTTCAGCATCCAGAAGCTGGGGACCAGCTGCGTCCATCACCGGTCTGCTTCCCAGCCAAAGCCTGGCTTGAACTAGGCTTTGCCAACCACAGTGGTGACTGGTTCACGTTGGACTGCATTTATTTTCACTCAGGACCTTTTTCCCTGTATTTTTCATTATTTTATCACTTTCATAACCATTTTTGTTAATAGATTTCCCTCCACCCTCAAAACTTTATGTCCAATCCTTCCAAATGGAAATTACTCAAAAGCAATGACATTTGCCTGCTTACATTTCACATCTGTATCAGGATCTGTGGATACTGGCGCTTACCTGCTCACCTAAGCTTCTCTTTACCTTCCTTTGCTCTTCCCTCATCCTTCCTTGCTTTTACAGACTTCCAAGATGTTTGTGACCAGCTAACCAGCTCCCTGGAGTCCATTTCAATCTTTTTCTCACTTGAGAGGAATTCCTTGGGTCTCCCCAGACTTGCATCTCTCTCTCTTTTTAAAATGTAAGAGTAATTGACTAATTCATTAGCAGTTCACTTGATTAATTAGCCAGTGATCAGCTATAAGAAAAGCAGCCATGAGCTAGCAGGCTTCCCAGTTAGAGGAAAAAGCTGGAGAAGAAGCAAAGAAAATGGGCTTTAGTCAAGAAACAAAAGGGGGTGAATAAGATGGCATGGCAGCCTCCTAAAATGCCCTCAGAGTTTATAAAGTAATCTTATTCCAGCACACACATCCCTCAGATGCCCTCCTTCTCCTTATCATCCAACTCACTCAACCATGTCACTGACATATGTACTTAGCAGCAGTTATCGTCAGTGGCACATAAATAAATGGCAGGTATCAAAGAATCAAGGTCGTCAACTCGTCATGAATATTTCAGAGAGAAGCAACATGAAAAGCTCAAGTGTCCCAGCCTCTCAGATTTCCAACAGAAGGAAAAAAACACAAACCACACGCACACAGGCACGCGCGCACACACATACGCTAGGTCTGCTGGCTTGGCCATCACATGCACGTAGTTCATTTCAAGGCAATACCACATATGTTCCAAGACAATCTGTCACATTTTAAAAATATATAAATATATATTATACATCTCCTCTGTATAATGTGCAAACTCTAAGCAGCTGGCAAGAGGGCAGTGGTGATTTAATGCAAGAAAACTGCGCTTTGCTGAAGGGGCTAGGGACTAGATAGCTTGGGCTGTAACAAGAAGCCTCTTTGACAAAGGCGCAGAGTGGCATCTTTTCACACAATTATATGTGGGTCACATTAACCTCTGCTGTGCAGGATTCCCTTGAGCTGCTTCTGTCTGCATGGCTCTGCAAAGAAATCAAAGCAGAAATTCCTCTCTCCCTCTCTTTCGCCGTGTAGGGTGATGCAGGGAAGTGATGGAGAGGGAGAAGGGGTTCCCAGCTCACCACACAAGGCAGAAGGCTGTGGGCAGGAGCACGGGCCAGGTCGGAAACACAACGAACTTCCTGGTGAATTCAGGGGCAAAAACTTCACACCTCAGGACCACACAGTTTCATTAATCAGATACATGAATCAGTGGACATATTTGAGATTTTGAGCTGTTTAGAGCGTTACAATATTGGGATATACATGTGTATACAGCTGAAGAAATGTTAAGTTTTGTTTTCAGCATATATGCCAGATGCTCTTTGGAAACTATTTGAATTTTGTTCTGTTGATGTGGAGACAGACAGAAGGAAGAAGGCAGGCAAGACATTTTTTCACAGACTGTGGAGATACAGATTTTCTCCTGTCAAATGAAACTCAGATTTGCAAACGGAAATTTCATCAAAGCCATGGGATTTATTAAACAAAGCAATGGTTTCTTTAACGAAATCATTTGGGCATTCCACTGTGTTCTGGATTATTATTATTTTTTTTGATTTATTTATCAAACAACTCCATTCCTGGGAATGTGTCAGCAAACTTTCAATGAGATTAGTTTTCCACTTTCTAGTGCCTTGAAAGTTTGTTCTTTTTATAGATTTTTTTTTCAGGTACCTCACCATATTCTTCAGTGTACCTCTGTATTTAGATGGTTTGATGTGGTATACAGCAAGTGATCTTTATGTTCCGTGGCAAACTGAATTTAAATGACAAGATCTTCTAGATTTGACAAAGTCACCATGAAATTCGGCTTTCATTTATATTAAAATGGGATCTTTCTCAACAAACTCATTATGGAAATGAAAGATACATTCCTTGAAGTGACAATTGATACTTACACTGTCATTCAGCTCCAATTATTTTGTTAATTCCCACATTTTCAGTACCAGGATGCTGCAAGATTTTGAACTTGCAAAACACCAGAAACTGGAGAAGTCTTTGAAGACGGCTGGACACTGTGAGATAAGGACACAGACTGGAAGTATCTGCCAAGACACCTAAAAGTGAAGATTAAGACCAACAATTTTAGAGGTATTTGAGCATTTTTTACATGCTGAGATCACTTCCAGATCATGATCTGATATTTTAAAGTGCATAGTCGCATTACCAGAATCTGTAATTGCTGCTCACCTTTCACCCTCTGTTGCTCATTTCCCCTCTATGCCAAAGTGCTCTTTCCACTCGTTTCTGCCAAAAAAACTGTGTGACCAGGCTCTGAACCAGACTGAGGAAATTTTCCTGCTTTAAACAAACAAACAAACACAACAACCTTTTATTTTATTTTATTTTATTTTATTTTATTTTATTTTATTTTATTTTATTTTATTTTATTTTATTTTATTTTATTTTATTTTATTTTTTTTGTGAGGTTGGCTTGCTCCTCCCATCTGGTTCCCAACCACATGAGTAGTTTTGCCAGCATAGCAGTACAAACAAGAGGCCAGGAGACAACATCTTAAACCAATGTTACCACCAAGCAATTTGTAATATCAAACCACAGGCTAAATCTCAACTAAGAGCTTTTTGGGTTTAGAGTGAACACCTCTATTAAGATGAATTAAGCACTTCACAGAGTTCAGAGCTGCAGTTTCAATGTACTTCAAATCTCTATTTTCAACGCTCAGCCCTGAAACAGAAATGGCCTGAAAGAAACCAGATAGGAAGACCATTAATTCCAGGTTTCTGTAGACAAGTGTTTTTGTGCATATGTTGTGTTTAATACAAAAGCACACCCCTGCGCTGCAGTCACTGCCACTGTCACTCCACTGTACAGTAGAGACATCAGAGCTACCTTAAAATTAGCTAGCACAGGTCCTGATAACCATCTAGTCTCAACAGCACAGGCTCAGCATGGGCTAATTTGTCCTGACAAGATTATTTGCAAATTAGGTGAGGAGGTCAGACGACTGCCCTATAACCGCATTAAAATGCAGTAAACATTGGCTCCAAGTTCATACCCTGCCTACATTTTAAATGTTTTTCATGGGGCATTCACTTCTTGTTCCCCCCTCAGTGCCAAGTTTCACCCACTCTCAGGCCTAGTTTCAGCCAAGAATACGTTTAAATGCTCTGCTCAGTCCGATACTACAGGTGTGTGTTGATGCACGTCAGGAGTCTTGTAGTTGAAGGGTATCAGATAGATCCTCAGCTGGGAAGACTCACGAGTGGTGATCTTAAACACCATGTGGAAACTGGATTGCTCGAGTTAAAGACATGTAAGACCAAGGAGGATGGGAACAGGTTTCATCCAGAAATATATAAAAAAAAAAAAAAAGCCTTTTGGATATTTCTACTTCATATCTCTGCTAGACACATATCCTGCTCCATCTGGAGGGCTAAAGTAGTTGGATGATATTACTGTGAGAACAATTTTGGACTGCAAACAGAACATCCTCCTCTGTTATGCTTTGCAAAGGGTCTGTCTCTGTTTTGTCATGCGGAGGCATGAGCTGCCTGTCAGTGAAAGAAGCAGAGTACTGTGGGATTTCCCAAGCAAAATGATTCAAAACCCACAGACTCACATGAAGCCATCCAGATGTCTCAACAGTTTGTCCTGCCATACAACATGGGCATGCCCAGATGACAGTCTGAGTTGAAAGAGGGCTCACGCTTGTCTTTAATTCTCACCTTTGCAGCCTATTTGGAAAACACGTTTCTGAACTTGTATAGCATTTTTGGAAGGAAAAGACCCTTTGAGTATGAGGAGCCCTAAGAGAGCAAGACTGGCTGGCTGGAGCCATTGCATGTCCTGCAAAAAATAAGGTACAAGGGTAACAGCCCCTTAATCTTAATTGTATGTAGAAATGGTGTCTGACTACTCACACCTGGTCCCATTGCAGTCACGTCCTACATGTTGATATATGTTGACAGGCTGGACACAAAAGCAGGCATACACACTGGACTGACAAAAAACAGTGAAACCTTCCAGTGGAGTCATAAGGGCAGGAGGATGCAAGAAGCACTTAGAACAAGAATAAGAAATGCTGTATAGGGTCAGACCAAAAATCAACCTAGCTCAGTACATGATATATACCAGTAGGCAGGAGCAGACACTTAGAAAAATAAAATAAAACAAACAAACAAACAAACAACACAAAACAAACAAGGTCCACATGAACTGACCTTTCCCTGTTCTACCTGGCCATTGTTTTAATAATGCTTAAAGGCAGCCTACAACAAGTGACTAGTGCAGCCATCAATGGAGCCACCCTCCATTTACACATCTGAATGTGCTCTGGATGTATTTATGCCTTTGGCCATCGTGTAACTTGGCAATGACTTCCCCAATTTATGTAGCCACTAATGTCACAAATTATTTCCTTGTATTTGTTTTCAACTTATTACCTGAAGGGTTCTTTTGGTCCTTGTGACTCCAAAGCCTCCTTATGAGAGCTTCTGCCCTGTTAGTGCAGTGAAGTCACCCTTCCTCTAATCCTGACACCTGTTTTCTTTCCCTGACACACTGGGTGCAGTTCTGACGAAGGAAGATGAACGCTGTATAGATTCCTCCACCTGAGCCAGTATCAGTGGGAAACCTTTAGGGTCGATAATAAGAAATAGAGATTTCTAAGGCCTGATTCACATTATCCTGAAGTGAATCATTAAACAGGAATATGGATGACTAGATCATGTAAGCAACTGCAATGTAAACGCCTAAACTCAGTTAAAAGAAATCCCACCTTCTGTCTTTGCTAAGACTCCTCTTTGATTACAGCTCAGTGTCATGCACTCCAACTAGTTTCTTGTCATTTTGGGTGCTTCAACAGGAGCGAATACTCTCCTCACAATATCCTTACTTTCAATACCACTTTCTTCTCCTTATTTTCCTTCTTCCATCTCTTTTCAGTGGTCTTGTTTTCCACCAGTCACACCAGCTGGTGTGACTCACAAATGTACTTATTTCACAGACTTACTACCCAGCAGTCCTACTACTGAGAGCAATCCTTTTGTCCCCCCCAAAAGTAGTTTTCTAATGCTTCTAACCCTGTCCAGAAGACCTTTTGTGAAAGCCAGGTACGGATGTTCTCAGATAGCTCTGATGAACTAGGTTTAAATGACAAGTAGGGTTGTCTGTACAGAACAAAAGCTTCAGGTGTCCCAAAAATTCATTCAACATTTTAGCATAAACATGACCTCCCAGCACCAAAACATAATGACACACACACAGAAATTAACTTGGCTAGCTGCTACATCAAAGCTGTGAAAGAGCCTTTAACATCACGCAAGGAATAAGCCTCTCTTACAACCTTGTCATATAAATGCCTTTCATTACACTCCTGTTCACCAATTTGGGGCAGTTTCAAAAGGATGTGGGGAAAGAAACAGTGGTAAGATCCCAGTGTGCTCCTTGAGAATATCCCATGACCTTACCCCATCTCATGTATCTGAATAAGAACCTGAATCCCTAACTCATTACTCCGGTGTTAAAAGGGCCTGGGGATGGGGCAGTCCGTCAGGCAGGCAGATCTGAAGCCATTTAGGACTAAATTACAATTCTTAGAGTAGTTCTCCAAGCTTTTTAGGTAAAGTGCTGAATTGGTTTCTGTTTGTGAAAATCTGACATAGGAAGAGTTTGTCCCACCAGAAGGTGACATAACCCAGATGCCACACTGACTTGACACTGGGTTTACAGCACTTTACAGAGAGGAAGCAACTTCCCCTTGATCAGGCAACAGCCAGGACCTCTCCTGCATCACTGAACACTCAGAAGCTCCCCATCCCACTTACCTCCCCTTAGACAAAATGAAATGTTGTCCCTTATGCATCATTCATCAAAGCCATACCCCATAATTAATGGCATCATTTGTTCAGGGGATTTCAGTAGGTACTGAAATCCAAAGCATCAATTCAGCAGTCTCAACCCAGCCTGGGTAGATAAAAATATGCCAGGAAGACTTTCACAGATGTGTGACACAGGAATCGTTGTCCTTTGAAAAAGTGGTTTAAAGGTGTTTCAGAGCTATGAGATCCTGCAAACTGGGTTCTCAGCTCCAGCAAGATGATACTACAGAGGAACGTTACATGAGGGGGTCACCTTTATGGCATTTTGAGGCAACACCATGGACTGGGATTATCTTCACAAGAATGGAAACAGCCACAGTTACAGCAAATACCAAAGCTCCAAACAAGCAACAAATCAGGAGTAGCCAGGTTCACTGCAGGCCTGGTCATGCTCCCTTTTCCTCTGGAACACCTCCCAGCCCAGCAGCAGAAACAACAGAGTGGCTCTTGTGAAGAGGTTGTTGTCCAAATCAGAGGTTCAACCCAGACCTCACCAAGCCAGTAACACAGGACTCAGCTGGAAACCCTTTCTCCCCAGCACTGCAGCACACAATGGCTTGCCCCAGCGCAAGATCTTAGTCTCCTTCTTACAACTGTGCAGTTTCTCTGGAACAGTTTTTTGGGGCCTGTGGTTTTCAGCAAAGAGGAATTTAAAGAACAAAACCTTGGTTCATTACATCATGGCTCCAGTAATGTCTAGGAACATTTTACATTTGATAAAATCTCCCCAGATTACCTTCTGAAAGCCTGCGGTCAAGTCACATGGCTGGAAACACAAGAATGATGTAAGTAACCACTGAATAGCCCATAGATCAGTTCTCTCATGATGCTAGCACAGAAGCTTGGGAGAGGCATCACATCTCCTTCAAGGGAGCATGGTAATTAGCTGAAGTCAAGGAACTGCTATGTCTATGCAGAGACAGGAAAAATGGCCTGGAGTTATACATGCATAGGTCTCACTTTGCAGAAATATTGGGTCCAAGGTTGTTTGCTGTGCCTGCTCTCTGCACTAGTGTTGTCCATCCTTATCTATCCCTCTGTGTCCCATCTTCCTGGGGGTACATTGTCCCACCTCTTCTCAGTCCAATCCAGGTTCTTAAAACAAGGTCGAACCTACCTTAAAGGTGGGGACTCACATCTGAAGCTTGGATTTATGGGCGGATGAGTGGTCCATCAGAGCAGATGGTCAGAGGGCATCTCTTCCAGGCTGTTAAACCTGGACAAAAATGGCAGAGAAAACAGGGAGATGAAAAATGCCATGGGAAAACCTGAAGTAAACTTTTCCAATAAAGGATTACTCTAAAGGGGATCTCCGTTTCATCCTTGTGCATTCTGCCTTCGGGAGAAAAAACACTTGCACAATCTATTATTTACAGGATAAGCCTGTGCTTTGGTGAGTACTATCCTCTGCCTTTCAGAGACAAAGTGTGAACCTTCAATCTTCAAGTAAAGCCACGGAAGCACAATCTGTACAGTTAACAATGGAAGGGTGGGCAGGAGTCACCTTTAAATTCTGACCTCAGGTGACTTCTCTGATGTCAGAAAGTCAAAGACAAATTGAGGCATAATAATCAAGAATGTTGATTTCCAGACTGTACTTGCAACCACTAGTTCATGCTGCTTCTCATCAGAGCAATGTCACCATGAGACTTTTATTCATCTGAGAAAACAGAAGTGACAGCAGCTCTTTGTTGTGATTGGCCTCTAAGCTTCCCTTGTCACACCATAATTAGTTAGCAGGACTGCTTTATTGCAATTGGGGTATTTCATTTGCAAGTGCATTTGGATGGCTAATTCAAATATAAGTCTCAAAAGCAGAGAATAATACAATGTTACAAGCCCTACAAATGAGATATTTCTCTTAAATAGGTGGCTTATCCATTTTGCCTGCTTTCTGTTATGGACTTGGAGTCTTTATTTTTGCTCTGAAGATTCAAATCAGTTGGAGTTTTTATTGTAAGTGAAAGAGTCAAAGGACAGTACCTGTCCCAAAAAGCTATTCAAAACAGGTAATAGGTAAAAAAAAAAAAAAAAAAAATAAATCAACACTAATACCAGTTCCTCCTCTTTACAAATCAGGAGAAGAACCATGAGGAGATGAAATGACTTGCCTGCTCGCATTTCAGCTGAATCAGGTCTCACAGCTCTGGGTGATGACTCAGCCAGAAGACCACCCTTCCTCTTCAACAGTCACTGGAGGTCTAAATGCAAGTAGCCTGCCAAAGGAGGGAATATATTGTTTACAGAGCTGAAGATTTCTGGATACCCTGAGGCTTTGCCACAAACCACCCCTCCTCCCTGCCTTGGCACAGGATCTTTGTCAAAAGCAGCTAAAGATAAATGCTCGAGCCTGGTGTTGTTCCCAGTGGCCCATCTGCAAGCTTCAGTGCTAACTTCCTGGTAGGTGCCTCCCTTTCAAACTGGAATCCAATTTACAAAGCCTTTAATTTTAAACTTTCTCATCACTGACTTAATAAAACTAAATGACAGGTAATGGTCCCAGAAGCCAGGAACTATTAGATCCTTCTCAACACTAATAAGGGCTGATCAGACGCTTGTGCACTCTTTTTCCAGCTCACAAAAGCCCAGCTCCCCAAGGACTCTGCCACCGGGGGAGAAACAGGAAACCAACGCTCTAACAGGCAGGTGAAGAAGGGCAAGAAAAGAAAGAAGAAAAAAAAATCAGGAAAAAAAAGACGTCAACACGAACACTTTAAACTGGAAATGGGTAGCAGGATCACTGTGGATAATGCCTGCTCTCTTCCTGGAGTTCATTTGGGGCCCACGTGCTCGCTCCATTTCCCCACCAGGGCACTGGGGGCTCTCAGAGGCGCTACAGGCATCGTGGCTACGCAGAGGCATGGAGCAAACCGGCTCTGATTTCTGCCCAAAGGCATCAGTGTCATACCGGTCGGGATGTCAGCTTGGGAGAATGTCAAGGCAGCAGTCACGGTGTGCTGTCACAAAGAGAAATAGATATCATTTCAAACACACAGCTCTGGAGAGAGGAGGGAGAAGCAGAAAAGAGAATCCCATAATGCACTTTTAGGGGGGAAGAAATAGAGGAGGAGGCTTAACTCTGCTTTGGCCACACCAGAGGAGGCAGAAGATGCTCCATATCCTTACAGCCAGCGTGCCCCTAGGCTGGGAGGGGCAGGTGGGATGCTCCAGAATAGGCCTGATTCTTTGCTCTTTATTCACTTTTGGAAGGAAGGAGCTGGAATCAGCCTCTGAGGATTATTTCCTGCTTTGTGGTCTTCCTTGGCAAACTAGAAGCTGTGGGCTTAGCCTGTAGCACAAGGGAGATGGGTAGTGGTGTAGTGGCAATGAACAGGGCTCCAGTGGTTTTCTGTCCTCTTCAACTTACACCTCCACACCTCTGTGATAAAGGAGACTTAAACCCAACCTCATTCCTACTCCAATTGTTTTAGTAAGAATCCAACCATATAGTCTTCACATCCCAGGCCTAAGGCAGCCTTACATAAACTGTGTTACGGCCTTTCAAGGTGAGTGTTACAGTCACATCTTCCCCCATCACAGAAAACCAGCAAGGTTACGTGGGCTTAATTTGAAGACACTCCTCTTCACCTGCCATGAATAGACTACGCTGTTCCTGTAGCCATTAAGTTCTTAGGCCTTGCTTTGCAAAGGGGAAGGTAGAGAGAATCTTCACTTCAGTCCCCTTCCCAGACTACAGAGTATGTAACCCTATTTTCAAAGCAAGAAACGCTTTTGAAAGAAGACCTTTTGGTGCCACAAAAATGCCATCCAAGAGCACAAGTATTTTAACAAAAAGAGTGGATTGAATTACAGTTTGAGATAAACATGACATTTCCAAGACCTGATTATTCCTCCTTCCCCATAAAATATTTGCTTTCTGCCCATACGCACAAAGGGAACAGCACCAAGGAGTCTCAGGCTCCGTCTCTGAAGGCATCCTAGTGGAAGGCTTGGAGATGACACAATGAGCTTATCTTATTACAAACACACACACATGATATCTGTGTAACTTTTTTGATATACAAAGTCAGTATCACAGAAAGCCCTGGAGCCTGTTGCAATATAATTAATGTGATAGGAAATCTTGTACTGGAGCGCAGCCAGGATTTTCATCACACTCAAGCCTCACTCAGTAACCACTGGACTTTCCATTCCTCCCTCAGCCACCCACCTTATTTGTCTTTCCTTCCCAATTCCTCTGAAGCACCTTTTAAACCCTATTGACATGATTGTTAGCTATAGTAGCATGCTGAATCTATGAAGGACTCTGTCTGGAGCGAATTCCTTGCTTGCTGGCTCGTCTCTAGCCTAAATCAAGGCTCTCTTATCCTTGCACATGACACTAGCTCATATAGCCTTGAAACCTCTCACTTCCCTATTCCCAACAGACATTTTTATATTTAAAGTGGTTCCTCCTTCCTCACCCCTGTCCTTTTCCTCCCAGGTTTGGCTTTCCACATACGATTCTTCCAGCATTTCCAAACAGAGAGTAATCTCCCAAGACCCTGCGTTATGCTGGTTACCCTATACTTTGCCCTGTACTCTGGATCTCTCTCTGATAATAAGGTGCATACACTGTATATCACAGCTGTAGAAAGAAAGGGGATGTATACATGTGGCCTCTCCTAAGTGTAATACACAGGTCTGGATCCTCTCCCAACATCTGCTCTTAGTCTGGACAAAGGGAATGAAAGATGTTACAAGGTTTGTGGCTTGTGTAAGAAAGATCTCGTGAAGAATTGCAATAGCATACTCCTAACCCATGGGAAATGGGTATGGACAGGCTCTTGGAACGAGGTGTAACCTTGACAGGGATGCTTCATCTTGCAACACTAGCTTTTTCACGGCGCTTTTTAGTAGTAAATAGCAAATAGCATTTGTATTGCTTCTTACAACACTGCACTGCTGGACAGATGAAAATATCTGTAGCCCGTAACAGACAGGATTACTAAAGGGGCTTTCCACATCCACACAATAAATGGACAGTAGGGTGAAGAAAATAAGCTGGTCGTTGGAGTTACATTGTTTAAAACATTGTTTATCCAAATGTTTTTAATCTCTTGGGAAAACACGAACTATTTTTGCTCTATAACGATCCTATGATTCTATTTCTACCTTTCAGTCACCAGTGGGCTAAACCAAGCTGTCACTCTCATCAAGGTGCTGGTTCATATCATCCAAAATCTGCTTCCACAGCAGAACGTTAGTTACCCCTTGCTGGTAGTTTTGAGTTAACCGGGCTCTGAAGAAACGCAGCTCTTAACGCGAATTATTCTTCCTTGTCCCCTTTATAGGATTTCTGTTCCTAATTAGAATGTGAACATAACTGTAGCTTTTCTAACTGTCCATGTGAAGCCTGATACTTGGGTAAATTCATAGGATTGTATGAAACTGTTTGGAAACACTGAGCTTTATATCCCTGTTTTGGGCATGATAATATTTAAGGCTAGAACAAGGCACACGGTAAATTCCTAAAGCCTGTAAGTCAGCTTGCTTTTCACAGGACAAGATGGCAATACAAGGTTCACTGTAAGACCACCAGTTTCAAAACACCCAAATAAAATAAAATAAAAGTTCTAGATCTAGTTCCTACAGAAATTTTTAATATCAGACCTTTGAGGCCCCGGGGCAATGCCCCTAACCAGGGTTACTCTGAATCTGTAACTGAACACTTGGATAACTGTCTTACCCTGTTGGAGCTCTCTCTCCTCTAGCAATGAGCTCTACCCCAGGCTACCATACATCCCTGGATAAGTGCTTTTTATCCAGACCCCAGGTTTGTCTTTCTGGGGTTTCACCACTTCAGACACTCTCCTGGGATTCCATTTTGTTGGAGCTGTATCTGTGCTTGGAGCTGTATTAAAAGTGCAGGCAAACAACTCTCAAATATTAATCTGAGGTGCACTGAAGTTCCTGGGTAGAAAAATGTAAGTCTCCATCACACAATATAGACCATGCAGGAACAGAAGCAAGGCTGGCAGGTTTCCTTTCATTAATAACATTGATTAAAATTCAGGCTAGGTGTTCCACCTGTCATAGAAAATAACACCCTAAAAGGGTGTTTCTGACTTGAATGGAGAAGAGCTGAGTTGCTGTACTGATACTGCTCCCACCTCTTTTTTAGATTCAAGGCAAATTGTTCAAAACCCAGGCTTCAGTTCTGTATCTGCAAAAGGGACACAACAGCTACACATCTCTCTTGGTCTCCTCCTCACCATTTGCTGTCTTGTCTGTTCGAGCATTTCACAAGAAATGGCAAGGCCTAGTGCAGTGACTTCAGCTGGGGTCCAATAGGAGTGGCAAATAACAAATTCTAAGAGAGGAGCTTTTTGTCCCAATAAATTGAGAACAAAAGATGAGATACTGTAATTTGGACAAATACAGAATAACACTCACTTTTGTGCCGTGGGCGATTTGACTTCAGGAGAGCTGTGCAGCATATGCATGATGCAGCTGGATTCTGCTTTGTGAAGCAGGGCCCTGAAAAGTCTTGCAGAGAATATTAGCAGCAGAATCTCACTAGTTGTTACAAGCTGTGATCTCCTTAGACTATTATTTTATTAAGGAAAAGCACATCTCTTGGAAATCATCCTCCCTTCTTCCCTCCTGCGACTTTCCTTCTTCAGTTCCCAGGACTATTTAATAAGGCATAGCTTTCAAAGGAGCAGCAGCATGACCAGATGGTCTAGCGAAATACAGCTTGTAAAAAAACAAATTCTCCACGAGTAGAAAACTTGGGATGCACGTGTCCCCTTGAAACAGCTCTAAATGTGGATTTTGAGGCGCACCATGTAAGGAAACGATGAGGGCCTGGGCTGCTTTCTATCTGGTACCTACCCAGTCCCACATATGACACACACTTATCCTTTTCATTGCTCCTTGTCTTTTCAAACCACACAACAGTGTCATTGTTCAGATGGCAACTTCACAGCAAAAGGCAATCGTCACATCCCTCAGCTGGAATTGGCTGCAGTTCAGATTTCAAAGCCCAGAGCAAGGTTTTTTCACTGAAGCTTTTCTTCTGGGAGCATGCTGACAGGCCGAATGGCTTACCCTCAAATGTGCCAGGCCATAATAAAATCACCAGTCACCCAGGATCTTCTCCAGACCAGACAAAGGTACTGCAAGGGCAGAGAAAACAGATGCCCTGCAAATACCAGAAAATCATGTGGTGTTTACTAGGACTCTCAGCCTTGTTCCTGCCACTCTGCTGGAGCAGCTCCAGGCGTTCAGGGTTCACACTGGACTGACTCCAGATTAAACGACAATGTAATAATTTATGTGCATCTCTATGCTTTGGTTTTAAAACCTACAATTAAAAGGATACAAGGACACAGTAATTTCCTCCATGAATCAGACCTGTGGGCCCGTTAACGCAGGATCCTACTCATTACACTGGTAAGTGGAAAGCTGACAACATAGTTCTCTCTGTCCTAGTATTTGGGAAATTGGTGCTTTAAGAAGGATGACAAAGGAAACCAGCAGAGTCAGAAGTGACGAAAAAGAAAGCTTTGCTGAGAAGAACAGTGAGCTCCTCCTGCAGTACTTCCAGGATATCTGTAAAGCATGCATGGTTCAGCCTGTGGGGAGGAAAAGAATAAATTTCCATTCAATAAAAAATTTTGTATTTTCATTACTTACTTATGGTTTGCTTTGGAAAAGACCCCCAAAAGCTCAGTATTTCCTCCACAACTTTATTTTGAGCCCACTGAAATATGTTGTAAATATTTTATGCTCTACTACGTACTACCAGAAAAAGAAGCAAAAAACAAAACACCACTTGGAAAGAAAAAGAACAACTAAATAAAAACAATGGCTTCAACCCATTCAGGCTCATCTCTGAGCAACAATAATGTTGCCCTGAAGAGAAAAAAAAAAAAAGTCAAATCAATGTAATTTCTTCAACCATTTCATTTTTGCCAGAATGTCATTTTCCAATGGAAAACCACACTGTCAAAATGTTTCTGACCAATTCTATGTATAATAGTTCCTAGAGAGCATCTATGTGAGCAGTGATAATTAGGACAAGATTTTCAAAAAATTACATTGCCATGAGGAAATTCAATGCTTGCACATGGAATATAAGGCCATCCATACCATCGTTTTCACCTTGAGCTTTGGACAACTTCTATTTTACTGTCAACCAAGAGATGTAGCTTATTACAGAGAAAACATATATCAAATAGCATCTGCCATGCAAACCTTATTCTCGTTCTGTCTTGTTTAGTTGTTTTCTCTTAAAAAGTCATTAGACTGAAAGTAAATGGTCACTCTTTATGGACTGAAAACACTGTGTATCCTTAGTTCATCAGCACAAAGAACACAAAACATAATGGATGTTTATCTTGTCTAGATGCCAATTAAACTTCTATAAATGTGACCAGAAATTATTCTTACCAGCTCAGGAGAATCCTTTCTGGGGAAGATATTTCAGTGCTAACAGCTTTTGATTACATGAAAAATACTGTGCAGAAGTACTTTGTCAAGACATCTTGATAATCCAGCTGCCGATGCCAACCAGACAGAGGAATCTGAGAAGGGAATGAACAAATATGTAAGCATTTGTACAAGATGGCGAGCTCACGGACAGCTTGAAAAGCATAACTGTGCAGCTGCCCTGCCTTAGCAGGAGCTTCTCCACAAAATACATCTTCCACAGCTATTTCCTACCAGTGGCAAGTTATTCCTGGCCTACAAGAGCAGTGAATTGCTTCCTCCCTCCTGGCCCCACACTGGCTCAGCTTCTTGGCCAGAAAGCAGAGGCATGAGGCCATCCTCTGTCTCTCTTCACCCTTTTCCCACCCAGAAGCTCTTTTTGAGCATTCCCACCTGCTCCTCCATGCTCAGATACAAGGTTGAGGTAATATATGTAGCGACGTACTTGCTGTTCCAGCTCCCCAGGATAAATGCCCTGCTTGACTCAGGAGGGTGGTCCCAGAGTACAGGGAGATATTAACATAAAAATGTGCAATTCTCACCTCCTCCAACATACGTTTTTATGTCTTCCATGCCCTTTCAAGCCTCTTCAAACATTCAGTTCTGTTTATAACTTGGCTGAGAGATACTGTCAGCTGTTTACCTGCACCAACTCCGCCTGTCCATTCCTCTGTACAACGTGGGCAAACCCAATCCAGCTGCATGACACGTTCCTCTGCTGGGCTGGAAATGGCTTTCAGATATGACTGAAGGCTAGAAAGGTCCTTATCTCCACACTTCAAAGGGCCTCCTCCCATTTGACAAGTTGGTGTCTCCCCTGGATAATTTGAAAATCTTATTCTCAACGGTTTTAAGCCTTTTGATCTTCATAAAAGCCAGGTCACAGAACATCTTATACCGTATGCCTTGAGGAATGCCATAAACTGTGAGCTGTTGCCACATCCAGGCCTCAGTACCTCTAATCTCGCAGTATTTATGAGCTCATATTTTCTTTGAAGGGACACAATCTACTTGAAAATCTTGTATTAAAATCACAAATGTCTGTACCAGTGCCTGCATTTTACATTAGTAAAAGGGGAATAAAATACATAATCTACTCATTTTTCTCCCACCAGTCCAACCTTTAAGACACTTGCATTTACGTACTCACCAGTAACAAAAGCAGATGAGGAAATTTCCAGCCAGTTTTGTTCTCTGGGCAGCGCTGCACATGCCAGTTCCACAGACGTCACATTGTGAATATTGCAGGGGAGTATTTTAATCTCAATAAAGACAATGCCAATCTGGTGTCTTTAAACTACATGCACAAATCCATTTCTTTTAGAAACACTTTGTAAGGCTGTTAAAATTGCAGGATATAAGCTCATTGATGACGTATATTTAAAAAACTCAGAAGATCAAAAGCAGAATGAAAGGGATTTATTTCTACACTCTCTTACAACATCTTCTTTTATCCATCTGTCTATGTGTCAGTATTTCTGAAAGTGCTTTTCATCACCTTGTTATCTTAGGGCCTGATCTCCATCCCTAACACTGAACACCCCAGAGGTGCAGAGGGCCCTCACAACTTCACTCATTACATTCAGAACCAAGAGCATCAACCCTGAACTGATGTCAGCCTTGCCTGGTCTGGCCACAGCGTCATGAATACCGCCCACAGCTATCACCAAACGTACCCTTCTGCATTTTCCAGTCAGGACATGGAGCTAGGCTGGGTTGGAGAAAGTGGTAACATCCTGAACTCAGGACACTCCTGGATTCGCATGGTGCACTGAAGGAACATGCCACAGATATAAAATCAGGCCTCTAAAATCTCAAACATGAAATGGGTCTATCACCAAGCTACCATTTCCACTGCTGCTAGAAGAACTGAAAAACAAGCTTCTTTCCAGCTTTGTTATCAGCGTATTTCAGCATAGACAAAGACAAACTATTTATGTAGCCCTATTTTGAGATGTGGGAAAGCAAGCAAATATCCTTCCTTTTCTGGATCTGCCACCCACGCAAGATGTGTGAACAGTTAATTCCTATTCCTGTCTGCTTGAAGAGGAAGATCAAGCTCTGCCTCTCTTCCTCCCCAAAAGAACAGTGAATCATGACAACTTGTGGCTTTTTTACTATTTAAGTCAAGCACAACACAGATCTTTTTACAAACAATGCCATGGAGTTAGTTGCCTCCTTCCTGCTGCGTCAATACTTGTACAGAGACAGAAGGCTTGATCTGTTTTATGGTGATGCTTCACATGTCATGGAGTGTTCCCCATCCCTCCTCCAAAAAGTGACAACAAGCAAGTACATCCCAAATCATGGGGGAAAAGATGATGAATGTAAAGGGAATCTATTGGAATTATGTTGCATTACAGAGTAAGGGAGAAATGCTTCCAATATCATTAAATTTCTCATTTGTCTAGTGCATTTGTCTAGATCATAACATTGGGGAAAAAAAAATCAACACACAGTCAATAAGAAGGGAAGAAAGACTGATAAAAGTTACACTGCCCCAAAATTAAGAGCACCTCAGATTTTGACATCACCCATTTCTTCCCTGTTTAAGGGTGGGTTAAAGCAAGTAACAAAATTTTATACACACCGCAAAGAAAGACAGGGAAGGAAAATAAAAAAAAAAAAAAAAGGAAAGAAAAGAAAACACAGGGCCTATGGGATGAATTTAGAAATAAATAAATAAATAAATAAAAACAACAAAACAAAATAAAACATAAAAAGGGTATTCCCCCTGCCAGCTGTCAGAGACTTGAAGGCACCTGGTAGAACCTTCATCGATAAAGGCTCAGATCCGTATCATTAGGAGACAGCTCCACAGGTTTGAGGTCTAATTTATGATTTTCAGATTGCCAGCTGTGACATAATTCACTGGGCAGCAAGACTGAGGTCAATATACGTTTAAGTAAAAAGGTTTTTCGTAAGCCTGTGGGGTCAATCAGGAAAAGCTGTCGTTATTGCATGGGAGGGAAGCCGGGGAGAACGGATGGGCTGGCAGGGGGAGAAGTGACCAAGCAGTCAATTCCCGTTAAGTAACCGAGGCTGTTTTATTGCTAAATAGCAGTCTAGCAACAAAGCACATCCTGGAGCATCTGAGCCAAAGGATCTACTCCCTTGGAAAGAAATACTCCACCGAGTCTCCCATCGCTTCTTCCCTGTTACCCTCTAGGCAGCTTCTTCCCAGACACACAGAGGGAAGGTGCACGATTCAGGTAACTACTAAAGCACCTGGACAGAGCTCACTTCAAGCAATTTAAGGTCCCTGTGTATGAGAAAGGCATGATGCAGGCCCTGCCCGCCTCCTGCATCATGGATTCAGCAGCCTGTCCAACTTGAAAGGTAAGGGCTCCCAGACACTGAAGTTCCAGGTTTTGCTTACACCTACCTTACAGCCGCAGTGACGTCATTTATTGTAAGACAAAATGCTTCTGCTTAGTAACCACCTACATATTCATACTTAAGCTGCAAAATTCCTTGTGGACTGTTCTGGAGAAAAAATCATGGCATCTAGACGAACTGACATAGACTAGTTTATGTCCATTCCTTGAACGAGAACGCTCTCTGGTGAAGACAGGCTTAGCTAAGTGTTCCCTGGCCAAGTTTGAAACCTGCAATGCACATTACTGACCCAAGCCAGGCCTATATATGAGAAGAAAACTGGTCTTTGTGGTCAGTCCTCACTTCCTTAGAAAACTGTAGCACTAGCAGTGCATGCTCAAGTTGCCAAGATGAGATTTGGATCATTAAAGCCACACTTAGGAGACTGAACTGGAGTCCCTGTTCGTGTCTGCACCACTCCAAAGCAACACAACCCTTTTGTTTATCATGACAAACGTCAACAGGAATCAGGCATGGGGTACTGAAGGAAAAGTGCCCCGTTGGAGCACAGAGTGTTGGAAATGCTGCCAAGGTTGAGTAGGTAGTTTCAATAGCTTTTACTATTTGTACAGAAATGCAAAATGGCGAGAAGAGTTGAAACACAATGCCAATCCAGCCTGAAGTATTAATGGGGTGACTACAAACAGAGAAAGTAAGTATAGAAATTAATCTTCTTGTAGACTGTCTATGGTTAGACCTGGTAGCTGGAATCGTTCAACAGGCTCTTGGTAAGATCTTAGCTGGCTGACTGCTCAAAAAAGCCTGGGAAGCTGCTCTCCAGTCAAACTGGCTTGGAAAGCAAAGTTACTCACCAAGATTGTACCCGTGCTGTTCCAGAGAGCATGGATGTGGCCATGCAGTCCAGCTTGGTTTGGCACAAGAAGGTGGCTGCACAAACCATGGTCAGAATGAGGTCCAAAAACAAGACCGTTGCTCCCACAAGTGTAGATGGCATGACACAAAAAAGACAGGCCACCACAGGCAACTAACTGAGGCAGGGCATAACAAATTCAAGTTTGCTTTCTAGGTCCAGGCCATAACTGCTGACAGGGCTGGTATGTCCTAAGAAGTCACTAAAGAAGGAGGCCAGGTTTCACCCACGAGGAGAAATATTATGACTTTTCAGTTCTAATGCAAGACCTCACTCTGACTCACCACATGAGCTGGTTACTGTTCACACTCAGCTTCAAATTTACTTTCCCTTCAGTTTGCTGGAGGGAAAGTATGTTGGCATTCGTTTCTTCTCCTTCTTTGGCTGCTTGCATCCACGTTCTTACAGTACAGAACCGGCCTTTTTCTCCATACTTGGAAGGTTCTCTGCTGTGCATAGGACTTCGGGATGCTGAGAGTGCCTTCCAGAAAACCCCTTGCTGCCCACATTCAAAGGCTTCTGCAGCTCTTTTCTGAGACTCTGAGGTTTCTGTTCCAGATAGCTGGGTCATTTCTGTTTAAAAACAAAAAAACAAACAAACAAGACAAACCAAAAAAAAAACAAAAAACAAAAAACAAACAAAAAAAACAACAGCCTGAAAGCAACACTTTTATAAAACCATTAGGCATATTAAAGAAAAATATGATAGCACATCCATTTCAGACATAAGCTCTCTTGAGAAACAGGTATGAGTTGTTGGTTCAGGCCTCTGCTTTGAATAACTGAAATGTAAAGGAGCACATGGGGGTTTAGAAGCATTTGATTTCAGCGTGGGACTCGGGAACTCAGCTCTTGCACAGCCATGACTGAAGATTAGGTACACCCACCATCTCTGGGCTGAGCACTTCCATTACATAGCATTTAGGATGGACTTTTGAGAACCTCAGTTGCAAGGTGCACACAAGATTCAAGTATTTTCCTCATTATTATTGCAGAGGCCGTAAATGGCAAAAGCAGCTCATGTTTTCTCCTGGTTTCTAACTTGCGGGAAAGCTCGTTATCAGCAGGGCATCCTTGAAACAGCAACCAAGAGCATTAACTTTTAATATTTAATGTATTCCTCAGGCTCTGGGAGAGCAATGTGAGAAATATCCCGTAAAAATCTATTAGTGTTAATAAAATACCACCCAACAGGTTGTCCATTATCAGCAATTAAAGTTTTCAAAGCAGGTCAGATAACTCCCTGGAATGATTTGTGTGGCCTTTACATCCGTTCTTTTCCTTCTTCCATTTTTTTTTTTTCTTTATTAAACTTTCTCAACTCTTTTTTCCTCCCTCCCACAGCACAGTCTGAGCCCTAACCAGTGAATTATAGCACTAATGAGGTGTTTATACTCTCTGCCCATCAATCACAGATGTGTGTGAGTGAAAGCGCCAGCCGATAGTCGGGAAGTGCTGCAGCCTTTGCTGCAGCCAAAAGAATATTAGACTGTAGCTAGATAAATCCCCTGCTCTTTTTCTTTGTTGCTCATGGCCACAGCGCAAGAGCAAATACACTCCATCTGATTTTCTACCCCCTGAAAAAGTGAGGACATCCCTGTAGTTCACATCTATAACATCCTCCCATCCCCATTTGCCTCACTTTACCCCTTAACCAGAGCAATGCACCCCTACAAAGTGAGAGCCTAACAACTAAAGGAGCAGCTAAATTATGGTGTGGTGAAATAAGGCAATAGCTACCCCCAGTTCCTGTGACCCAGCAGAGCTTACCATTGGCACACCTCTCCTATTTCAGTGCTTTTTTCATCTTTTCGTTGCTGATATCTGGCTAGGAGTTCCCAGAAAAAAATCTGCTAACACGCTGGTGGCAGCACCCTGAAAGATGAACATCAAAACCATAATTAGAAATCAGTTAATTTAAGATTTATGCTTTTTTAATTATTTCTTAAAGCACACTTGGATGTTTAATAGTGAGGCTTTGGCTTTCTCACTGTCTCATCTTACAGAAAATTAACAAATCTAAATGAATGAATACCCATGTTTGCAGAGAACTCAAATACCTCTACACCTACACAAATGAAGTAATGAAATGAGGTCTTTGTGGTCTCAATTTAGCATAAACTGGCAGAGAGTGGGCCAAACCCAGATGGGGTGTTCATGAAGAACTCAAGGTGTGTTTACTGCAGCCTTAGAGGTCCCAGAAGAAGACAAAGAGCTTCTGGCTGGTGCTCCCAGCAGTCTGGCACAGGAGCAGAAAATCTCCGACGTGATCTTTAAGAAAGGGAGTGGTGAGCAAAGAGAGTTCAAGGGATGATGCCATGGCTGCAGAACTAAAATCAGCTCCTCTAAAGCAGCTTTCTGTCCTGGTTTGAGAGTGGGACCCTCGCAAACCTGAGCCCCCCATGCTGCCAAAAAGGGGAGCCAGGAGGCGGGCAGCTGGGTGCCCCCACACTTTGGGAGCCCAGAGCAGGGTGTGCAGCACTGGCAGCCTTCTCCCAAGGAGCTGTGGCTTTAACCTCACCGCAGCTCCTGCGAGGGTGGAGCAAACAGTTTTCCTCATACTGTTGAACGATCAGCAGGTAGGGCTTGTCTATTATTCCTAAAGAAAATTGTATTTTCACTTGGATATGGTTGTTTTCTATGGTGCTTTTTGGAGCAGTATCCCCCAACCCGTGGATTTTACAAAAATAGCCATCAATCAGCCCATTTCCCCCCTTCCCACCATATTTCTCTCTTCCTCTTCTCCCCGGATCCTGTTCCTTCTCTTCTGGTGCATGCTCCATTCCTGTAAATAAAGCTCTCCCCATCTCCTGTACCCTCAGGTGCAGCCCCACACTTAAAGGCAGTCCCTAGGGTGCTGCTTCTCTCCCCTTGCTCTACAGCTGCTTGTCCATTGCTGCATCATCCTTTGGGGACATTTCACTTCATTTGTGACAGTTGGGGTTCTTGTCTTTCCCCAGGTTCATGTCTAGGGCAGAAGTTTTTAACTGTTTTCGATCTGTACCCCCCCAGCATTTTGTTAGGAAGTTACAGGTCCTTGTGCAGCCAACTCACACCTATGGACAGAAACCATATTCTCCTTAGCCACATTTCACAAACCTCTTCCCTGTTATCCACGCCAGGATCATGTTGGAAAACCTGGTGATGTATCCCAACAGGAATAAAAGCCTTACTGCTGGGCCAGACCCCCCCAGGAACCTGCTGCAGACTCTGGAGGGGCACTGCCCCCGCACTCAGGGATAGCTCACCTGGCCCCACAGACACACACATCAGTAAGCAACATCGACAACATCACCCTGGGGCCAAACTGCTTTCAGCACTCACACAAATGCATCTGAAAGTAGCTTGGGTGCCTCCCCTCTCGCTCTGCATGCTGTATGGGCATCTGGCTTTCTGCATTGGTGGCAGGGGGATGAGAAGGGTGGTGAGGGAGACAGACAGACACCGGGTTTGTGGTGAGCAGCGGGGAGGGGAGGCTTGGCAGCTCGTCGTAGCAGAGCAGGAAGCCTTAATACTTGGAGCCAGTTGAGTAACCTCGCTGATGACCTTCCATCATAGGCGCCAGTGCTCTCACACAGGGGGAAAAAAACAAGAGGAGAGAGAGAAACAGAAGCTGAGAGAACGTGGTGCAAACAGCGCAGCACACAGCCAGAAGGGACACCACGCTCCCCAGATGATACCTGCACGTATGGGGAGTGCTAGGAGGGGGGCAGCAGATCCCCTTCCCGGGTGCACCTGGTCAGAGATCTGCTTTCTGCTCTTAAGGGTTAAGTTTATATTTATGCACCAAAACAAGCGGTTGCATTTTCTCAAGAACTTGGTGTGTTGGGAAAATGTGGCTTTGAGCGTCCCAAGGGCTATATGCAAATCACGGGGTAGGTGTGTTGTGCGGTCTCAGCCCTGAATCATTCAGACTGGTGACACGACCAGAGCACGCTACAGCTCCCTGACTCACATGCCCAGGATTCCTTCCTACGGAAACCAGAGCGTGGGAGGGGAGCAAGCAGAAATGGTGCACAGCCACATCTCGCAGCTGGGAAGAGAGGAGACAGTCTTCAACGCAAGAGTTGGGAAACGCTGAATATCCCACAGTTTAGCTAAAGCCCCAGGGAGCTACTGGGTGAGAAGTTCCCCTAAGAACTCAAGTTCTTATAAATCTTGTCCTCTTCTGACATCCCAGGCAACAATAGGACAGAGGGAACAGGGATGCCCTACTTTATCAAGTCCATGAATGAAACAATCTCTTTGGGTACATTTCACATATTTTTCTGTTGCTGGAATTGAGTACTCAAAATATAATTTGTCCCCCAAATATTTTAAATACCTTTTTTTCTCCCACTTTGTCTGGTGTAATGAAGGGGTTTAACAGAGCTTAGCAAATCATTTCCTTCCATCACAGATATGAAGCCACCTCTAAGGAGGAATATAGTACCTGCTTAACGACACAACAGCTTCTACAGTGGAAGAATACATACAGGTGCAAGTGCCCACGTACATTTTGAGACAATGTGTGCAAGCACATGCAAGAGAGCCCCCAAATTCCTCTGGTGAATCCTCCTGCCCACAGCTCCCCACCCTACCTGCATGCCAGAGCATTCTACCTTGCAGCAGGGTCAGCAGAGAAGAACGTGCCGCCATGCACACGACGGAGCCTGGGAAAGAGGGGGGAGAGCGTGGGCAGCACTGTGGTTTATGGGTAAGAATTCCATGTTTAGGACAATACTAGAAGTCAGCTGAAAATCATTAAGTTTGGTCACTTGAGTGCTTTTGAAATCCATGCCCCAGACATGAGTCTGAGGCAGCCCTGCTGCAGGGTGACTCATGCGGTGAGCATGCGAGCATCATACATGCAAAAGGACCCATACAACAGAAGCAGCTGCGTAGGGTGTAAAACAACAACAACAACAAAATTCTAATTAAGGTCACCCTTAAATATGTCCCGGCTGACAGTGGCACTGCTACACTGCACATCAATTTTCCTTGCACTGTAGCCAGGATGGCAAAACACGCACCCTCCAAAGTCAACACAGGCAGTTTGGACAATGCCCAAGAACCCATATGTTGGGCTTACTCCAGCAAGGCTAGGCAGAAATGGCCAGCTCACAGCCAAAAGCTGTATTGCCACAACACGGATAAGCATGGAGCCAGCCTGGGCAAGCTGTTGTGAAAGGCATCGATTCTATGTCACCCATACAAATTCGGTGAGCAACGCTGAGTTTCCCCTGCCCGTAGGATTAGGCTGTATATGGAAATGAGAGCCAGCATGGGAGCAGGGAGAAGAGAACGAGGGGAAAGTCACACCCCATAATTTTAAGCCTCGAAAAGTAGGGATTCGGTCCAAGCTAATTGTTTAAGTTCACTTTATATTTAACAGAGAAAGAAACTCATTGCCAGAATGGAATTTCTCTCATCTTGAATTAGGTGGGATATGAGTTCCTCCCCATGTTTCTCTGTTAAAAAGAAAGGAAACCGAGAAAATTAGTTCAGTCCAAACACTTTGATTAATGCTAACATCAGGTAAGATGAATCCTACCCTAAATCTATCCAGGTGAGAGTGACAAAGCCAGGAGGAGAATGCAGGAGGGCAGCTTCATTTCCTCATGCCCTGACACACTGTCTCCTCTTTCTGCCACCTTTTCTCATGGTGATCATCACCCAGCGCCTCGAGGAACCAAACCAGCTCCTGACACCGGGATGACTGGGTAAGTGGCAAAGTCTGACTTGCAGGAATAAAGGCAGGAAATTTGGGAACACGGGGATGAGAGGCGGTTGGTTATTTCAAACAGCTCATAACAATTGCATGAGCTGGGGACAATTTCTCTTTAAACTGCCTACTTGACATATTTCTAAGCTAGATGAATTATCGGGCCCTGGCAATTCTCCCAGGGCACCGGAGCTTTCTTCCCAGCTTCCTCTCACTAATGGGCACAAGAGCTCAAGCCCCTGAACCCTTTTCTCTCCTCCACCTTCCTTTGCTCTCTGCGCCCCCAGCACACACCCAGACCCGCGCTGAGCACGGCTCAGCCTTTCTGTGATGGAAAACGAAGGCAGCTGCCAACACGCAGGGCTGCCGTCAATTCCTGAGTGCAAAGGAGGTGCAATTCACCTCCTCTGTGCCAGGTTACACCAACTCTGCTATCCGTGACATCCCTGGCCTCACTCAACAGCTCCAAGCAAACTGCACAGACTTGCGCTGATACAATTAGTCTGCCTCAGCCCCAGAAGAGGGGAACCCATAAAAATCTGCACTGAATCCTGCTTTTTCTGATGTTCACAGCTTCTTTCTTTCCCTCCTTTTTTCATTTTTATTTCTGTAATTATTTCCCCCCCTTCCTTTTTTTCCCTCTTCCCCCATTAACAGGGGAAAAACACAAGAAAGAAAACACAGGCAGCCAAAAGCTCATTAACATACTTGACCTTTTGAAAGAAAATTAATTCCAAATTCGCACATACCGGCTGTGTTGCTTGGTTTTGTCAAAACGGTGGCATCATTAGAGAGGAGAAGAGATGGCTCAAGGGGACGGGGTGTCTGCCACCTCAATGGAACTTGCACCGAGTTACTGAGTGCTGGCACAAATAAAGCAATGACATGGGCCATTCTGTCAGCTTTTCACATGAAATTAATCTTCGTTTCGTTGGCTGTGTAAATTTTTATCACCACGGAGTGGGGGGTGATGAATATACCAAAGCATCCTGACAGCTATGGCCTGAAAACTCGAGATTGTCTCTGCATCTTAACCGCAGTGGTGCTGGAACAATTCTCTGCCCCTGATGTTCTCCCTGCGTGTGTGCACGCGGGCGTGCCTGTGCGCGCGGGTGTGCGCCGCTGCCTGGGCGTGCGAGTGCTTCACTGACACTCTTTCGATTCGAATGTGCTGTGGCCTGGGAAATGCTTGGGGTTTGGATTTCCTGGCTTGAGGGCAATGGCAAACGAATTATTGCTTCTCTTTCACTCCCTGAGTCCCAGTCCAAAAGCTGGTTTCGATCCCGGTGTGCTTTGCTGGGGTTGGCATGGTTTCCTAACTGATGAGCAAAAAGAGCAGCTCTGCCTTCTCCTGTGGCTCTGGAGCTTGTTGGTGCTGCTGTTTTTACAGCATGTGTCATGTTGCAGGCCAGGTAGAGACGTGACATTGTTTGCTGCTAGCAAGGATGTGACAATAACACCCACCTCCATGGCGCTGCGTGCAACCTGCCTGTGCCCAGCCAGCTCCAAACAAACACTCGTGCATCCACAAAGGCACCGACACAAACACGCTCGCAGCCTCAGCCCTCCTAGCTGCACACCCACCCCAACACACAGGATAAGCATAAAAGCACCCTCAGTGTACACTTGGATGCACATACACAAACGCAGCACCACGTGAACCTGCAGACATCCTCAGGATTACAGCGCGCACTGCGCTCCACATTTTATCTGAGACAGATGGCAGACTTAAACCTTCAGGTCTCTACAGAGCAGAAATACAAATTTCATGAAGAGGCTCATCTCTCCAGCAGTCTGATTGATAATGGCCAGGAACAAAACCGGGAGGGTTGGCTGAGATGAGTGACCAGGCCTGTGGCCACGATCAGACAGGCTGCGCCAGGCGGCGCTTGCTAGTCAAGGGCATCAGCTGCTCTTTTTCAGAGCAAATGAGAGCTAGGCCAACCAAAGTCATCCCTCTACATCCCAGCTGTCAGTCAGAGGCAATATGCTAACTAGGAACTGTGCTGCTGATACTTTTAGCTTCACCTGGAAAGTCAGGATTTGGCCCCTGGGTGTAAAGCATGCATCCCTTCCCGAACCAACCAATGCTCGTTCTGTCCTAAAATGTGCATGCATGAAGTCTGGACAAACCTGCAGCTGCTGGGCAATAATAAAAGCACATCCAGACATGCATGACCACAGCCTGCAACACACACCCTGAACATCCACACAGGACTGGCTGAGTGGAAGGATGCACACACCAAATAAGAAAGAAACCCATCTTGAAATGCGAATGGATGTTCTCAGATGCGTGCACACATGAACACAGAGATACACATTCCCATTCTTGTATATTTGAAGAATCCCCACAAATTACCATTACTAAGGTATTAACAGCAAATGTATGGGGAAACACTTAAAAGAGGCCAACCACTACTTGTAGGTAAGATGTTATCAATCTTAAACCATTCCAATGAATGCGTTACTCGAGCAAATCGTTGGAACCAGAGCTGAGCCTCCCTTACGCTGAGCCACAGGTAGCTAAAAAAAAGTTGTATTTAAATACACATCCACACACATTCATGTCTGAAAGCTTTCAGAGGTCACTTTTCCCTGAACCCCAGGTTAAGCACCAATATTCCATGTGCTCTTACACACTGGTGGCCACTTCAATGTCACTTCAGCCTGCTGTGCATACCTTATACGTGGCGACAGCATTCCTGTGCTTTACATGCTTGTGGTGCAGACGAAAGTCTTAAAGCTTGAGCTTCTTCAGTAGCAGTGAAGAGTCCCAGGGGAAGCTCATCGCCCAAGCAGGCTGGCTCGTGGCCAACGAAAAAGAATCAGGAATAGCTGGCCAAGAGGAGTGGCCTGGTCTCCATCCACTATCCTGATTCCCATCTGAAAAATGAGAAAGAATCCCCCTCAGAAACACCAAAACCTACCCCCTGATCCAGACTTCCTCCCAACTTGAAGACAAACTGAATGTGACAGTCACAAGGCACATCACTAATGTCCACCTTGCAGGTGCTCTCAGTTTACCAGTTAGTGCTGCATGAAATTATCCTCAGAAACAGAACAGAACATGATGTTGGGTGAATTTTTAGCCTGACAAGTGTGAGAAAGAAAGTGGTGTTTTTGCGGTAGAGAATGACTTTTCTGTATTCCAAGGTAGTTGTGTAGTCATAATAAGGAGAAATGCTAAGTAGATAAGTGGACAATAGAAGGCCTCACTGTTCCAAAATAAGGTAGAAGCTTAAGAAAAAGAGGATGAGCAGTGTGTTGGGTGCTTCCACCTCTTCCCTGCTCTGAGTGCCACAGGGGTGGGGAGAGGGAAGGGAGGCAGAAGTGGGGCCTGCAGTCAGTCCCTGGTACTTCATTTCCACTGCTCCTTCACAGTCACTCTCCCCTCTACTCTGTTGTGGGGTGCTGACCTTCTTGGGCTATTCCTAAATGGGCTGCTCCACTGCGGTACACCATGGGCTGTGGGGGTCTGCCTTCCTCACCAGGGAACGCCTCTCTGTGGGCTGCAGGGGGGCTTTGGCTCCGGCGCCTGGAGCACCTCTACACTGCACTCCCCCTGCTCTGCACTCACCTTGGTGTCTGCAGCGAGGTTTCTTGCTCCTCACTCTCCCAGCTGCTGTTGTAGAGCAGTTTTTTTTTTTTTGTTTGTTTGTTTGTTTTTTCCTTTTCTTGGGTGTGCTCTCAGAGATTTAAACTGCATTGCTCATGGCTTGGCTCATGGGCAGCGGTGGGCCCCTTTGGAGCCAGCTGAAACTGGCCCTTATCTAACATAGGGCAGCTGCTGGATTCTTCTCACAGGGGCTACCACTGCAGCCCCCTCTGCTACCAGAACCTTGCCATGTGAACCCAATACATTGAGGCAGCTAGGTCATTACTGCCATGTGAAATATCAAGGCTGAAATTAACTAATAAAACCCTAAATGTGATGGGGGTAGAAGGGACTGGGATAACAGTGCCACTTTTTGGGGACACCAAGCTGAGACCAGGGATAGAACGATCACTGGGCAATTATTGCATGCACCTGAGGCGGGGACTATCTTGGTAGGAAAGGATTTGATAATGAAATTGGGCATTCAAATAGTAAATTGTTACGCTGGAATAATGGTGTTATTAATGGGGTTTTCTCAGGCCCTGAGAGCAAAGATATATTTGCCTTTGAGTGGAAAGACCTTGAAATGGGGCGGAAGCAACAATACAGATGGACAGTTTTACCTCAGGGGTTTACAGGGCCACCAGTTTATTTGGGCAAGTTCTAGAACAAATTTTCACCTCCCGAGGAGGTGTTACTGTTACAATATGTAGATGATCTTTTATTGTTAGGACAGGAGAAAACAGCTGTGAAGGAAGCCACTAACAAGCCAGTTGATTTTCTGGAAAAATAGGGCTTGAAAGCATCAGAAAATAAATTTTGTAGAAAGAGAAGTCAAATATTTAGAGCATCTAGTGTCTGAGGGGGAATGAAGAATAAATCCAGAGAGGATTCAGGGAATTGTTGAGCTACCCCTACCCAAAACTAAAAAGAACTTAAAAGTTTTAAGAGAAAGAGGTCTTTAAGGAATTAAGAGTCACGAAGTCCAAAGGAAAACAGATACTCCCTGATGGCAGAGAAATGCTGAAGAAAGTGCTAATGAGACAAATACTGTTTTACATCAAGAGGGTCATTGGGGAATTCAAGCAATGTGTGATGCAGTGCGATGGAAATATGTATGTGTAGGAATATATATATATATATATATATACACTCTGGCTGAACACATATGCAGGAGTTGTGTAGTATGTCAAAAGGTAAACAGGAAAATTAGCTGCAGTCAGCCCAAAGGGGGGCAAGAACCAGGAATTCAACGCTTCCAAAATGTACAGGTAGATTTTACGGAACTCCTTAGAGTAGGTAGATTTAAATACTTGTTAGTCTTGGTAGATCATTTGTCAGGGTGGGTGGAACCTTCCCTTCAGCATCTGCTACTGCGAACATAGTAACTAAAGTAATTCTAGAACAAATAACTCCCAGGTATGAAATTGTTGAAAATATTGACTCTGATCAAAGAAACCACTTTATGTCAGAAATATTGCAAGGGCTAATGTGGACTCTAGGAATTAACTGGAAATTTCACACTCCTTGGCATCCTTTCTCTTCTGGAAGGGTGGAGAGGATCAGACAGTAAGGAAGCAATTGACTAAGTTCTGGAAACTCGGCTTCCCCAGACGAAGTGCTTACCTTTGGCACTTCTCCAAATTCAAACTGCACCAAGAAAAGATGTGGGAGCTTCACCATATGAAATATGAAAAACTGATCTCAAAAATATTTGGGGGAAAAAACACACGAGATCCTACACAGAGTAGCTCAAGATGACACTTCCTGAGGATTTAGAAGCATTTAGGAGAACCTAATTTTGTGATTACCTGAATAGAATTGGCTCAAACAACTGTTTGTTGGTGTATTTGGTGGCTCTGCACAAAGCTGAGAAGTGTCAACAGGGATTCTCCTAATTGGGGTCTGAAAAGAAACTAAAAAAAATACCCCTTTCCCTTCAGTGCATGCCTTACAGGATAATAGATAGGTAGGAGTCTCTGCAGAGTCTGAAGTTCTTCCCCGCATTAAGTACTGCAAGGTTTTTAACCTGTGATTTGTAGGTGATATGGATGAATCACACTGAGCAACCTCTCGGTGCTCAGCTATTTCCTGCACTGGAGGCTATGTCAGTGCAGAAGCACCAGTACTGTAAGAGCACTGTGAGCCCATCATTTGTCCTAGTGCTGTTCAGCAGAGCCAGTGATCATGGATGTCCTTCCCATATTACTTCTGAAAAATGGGACTTGGATGGGGCCTTGTGACCAGTGCAGATACCGGCCACCATGAGGACAGGACTGGAAGATGAGATTTCAAATGGCTGATTCCCTCCAAACAAGAGAAAGGTAAAATTTTTAGTGGATCATCAAGGCCAGAAAGAAGAGCATGGAAGGCCATGATCATGCAGTTATGGAATAGATCTTGTAGGTCATCTTACCCACCCTGTTCTACCCGCTAGCTGGATCAAGTACTGTGATCTCCTGAAGAGGGTCATGGAACTCTTTGAGGTCTCAGATCCACCAGATTTTAGCACAGACTGCTAAGAAGCAAAGCACACTGCTTGGCTTTTGTATTTACTATTTTGTTATCAGTCCAGTTCCAGCCAAGAGCACATGGATACCCAGCTGACAGGTACCTGGCAGCAATGAAAGCTAACAGCATCCTGTGCTGTAACAGGAGCAAAGCCAGTAGCTCAAGGGAAATGACCATTCCTCTGTAAATATCTCTGTATCCAGCTGTGAGTCCACAAGCAGAAGGAAGATGCTGATGAGCAGAGAGCCACCGAGATGGTGAAGGGGCTGAAGCATGGGATCTATAAAGAGAAGTTGAGGGGAGTGAGTTTGTCCAAGCTGCAGAAGGCTTAGGGGACTCCTAACAAGAGCCTTCTGATACCTATGATGTTATAGAGAAGACAGATGCAGGCTCTTTGCTTGTGTGTGTGGCAGGGGAGCAAAAGACATAAATTAATTTCATAATAAAAGTAATAAATTGAAGGAGTAAAGGTTTTGCCTGGATATAAGGACAGAAAATTGCTTTATCAAAACTCTAACCCAGGAGGTTTTTAAACATCTGATAAAGCCCTGAGCCTGTTTGGATGAGGAGGTTGGACTAAATCTTAAGAGGTCCCTTCAGACCTGATTTATTCATCCCTCCCTCCGAATTCTGCAACTTCTTTGCAAGGTGCATAGATGTGCTTGCGTCCTCACATGCATGCTTGTGAGAGAGAGGGAGCGTGCGTACTGGTGGCATTAACATGCACAGCAGCACGTGCTGGTGGCTGGGGTTTCCATGAGTGTGATTGTGTGCACAGATAAGAGAATTTCTGCCCGTATTTATGCACAAATACAACAAAGTATTTGTGCATGTGTAAGCAAGCATGTCTGTGTACTTTAACATCACTGAAATTGCTGCATGAGGGAATGTGCTTATGTGCACGCACGTGAGCTCAGGAGAGTGAGAGCATGTTTCCGGCTGCATGGAGTTTACAGAAAAGATCTCTGTGGAAAGCTGCACTAACAGAGCATCCCTCTCCCTCTTGCCAGACCGTTGTGGCTTGTTGAAGTAATGTACTTTTTGAGGAGGGAAGTCTTATATCTTGAGACAAACCACATACCTCCAGGGCGTGCATCCAGCCTGGGAGAGAGCAGAAGTGAGACAAGAGAACAGCCCAAGTCTCTCGGAGGTGTCACTGTGTGCACTCTGAATGCAATGACTCGGTCCCATTGGAGGCGATGGGGTGAGAAGAGTAAGCGAGCTTCCTTGGGAGGCCTTCAGAAATAGAAACAGGACAATCCAAACATGCATCCACTTGAAATCAATCCTCATGTACATTACCAGTGTCAGGGATCCTCTAGTACAATCGCAGTTGGAAAAGTTGTTCACAATCATGCTTAAAGAGAAATGTGAGGTGCAGTATTAAAGCATGGTGTCAGAATACTTGTGTAAAATGATGTGTGGCATCAAGTGCTCTCAGCCTAAATATTCACCAAAGGAGGTGCTGGTTAATCTCTAATGCTTTAATAACCCTTTTGCCAACCTGGGTAGGAGCAGAGAAGCAGCACTCCCAAATTCCAAAGAGATGAATCACTGGGTAACCTGGGGGACCCTGGTCAGGCCGAGGTGAAGGAGAATTGAAACAGACTGCCGAGGAGCAGGAAGGCACACTGCGGGAGGAGGGAGAAGCAGAGGGGATTGCAGCACGTTCAACAGCACACATCCTGCCGCAGCCTGCGACACGCGGTAACTCGAGAGAGAGAAAAACCCCTTCCAAAACCTCCAGCTCCAGCCACCCTGTTTGTCAGAGGAATTTGAATTTCAGCTCTGATTTGACTGAGGCTGCCCCTGACCGAGGAAGGTTACCAGGCAGCCCCGGGAGCCCTTCTGAAGTTCTGGGTTGTTGCAGTTCATCTGCTGGGTTATGAGCAGTGAGCTATGTACACAAGCCAGGGAGCTGTCTATCGAGCTCATTTCATCTGATAGGACGTGTGAGGGGAGACTCATAAGTAGGTGACCAGAATAAATGATTTACCAGGGCACTAAAAGATCAAGGCAGTTGTTTCTAAAGGGGCTTAGAACATCTAAAGCCAAAAGCGTTATGGTGCTTTTAGGTGTACCCTCAGGCTGTCAACCTTGCTCCAGCTTCTTGGAATAAATAATTTGAACTGTTCCCCATTAGCCAAGTAGTAGAAAACCTGTTACAAAAATTGCTTGCACTCTCTCCCAAGGAAGCAGGCATGTGATAAATATCTGCCTCTTAAGTACCCACTGCTGATAAAGAAGGATAAAATTTCAGATTCATATTTAAAATAAGATCCCATTTTGCAGCTCCAGCAGTACAAAAAGAAGAAAAAAGCTTCTGAAAATACCTTTTCAAAATTGACTAACTCTCACTCCACGTTTCATTGTAACTCAACAGCAGATGGTCCTTCTTGATACACCCTTCAATTCATGGCTGTTTCTTTGGGTAAGGGCAGCTGTAACACCAAAACCACCAAGCTTCCCTTAACGGACATGAACCTCTGGGCTTATAGGAGCATAACTGGGGCCATGCCACCACATTAAGATCAGTGTGGACTGTTCCACCCTTAATCCATGTGAACAGTTTCTGACTGTAGGAAGTCCCAGCAAGTCAGTTACATGGTGCTCCCGAGCAGGTTGCGAGCAATGGGAACAAACTCAGTAGGTCAGGATTTTAAATAGCACTTCTAAATTTTAAGCCATATGTTGCTGGAGTGAAAATGGCTGCTTTGTTTGCTGAAAGGCTGTCTCTCACTCATAAACCTCTATGTGGCCAGTCACTAGAGGGGGCCAGAAAGCCACCTTGTAACAAGAGGGGCTGTAAAATCAATGGCATGGACAAGGACTTGACTTCTACTCCCCAGGTATTCCCCCTGGAACAAGTAAGGCAGGCTCCTGAGCCTTTGCTTACAACAGATGCCATTTACTCCATGTGTAGTTCCATGTAGATGAATGGACGTCTTCAAGGAGCCAAGTACTGGCCCCATGAGTAAATGTGACACAATTCGGCCTTTAAATAGCACTACCCTTTTGATGACCTTCCACAATGACAAAATTAAGTCTAGAAAGACCTGCAGGGTAAAATCAAACTGAATTTGTCAACATGTGTCAGAAAGAACATAGTATGTAGTCATCCTAGATGGAAACTTGTCTCCAAACCAGGAAAAGTTGGAGGTCACGAAGGAAACACAAGAAAAACGGCAGCCAAGTCAAGTCCATGGTGACGTGGGAAGCACACTTTGTAGGTCTTCTCGCTGCTCCCTTAGGGTTCAAGAAATGTATTTGTTTGGTTTCACAATGGCACTGAAAATCTTCAGCCTGACAAAGGGTCTTCCCACAGCAAGTACAAACACTGAGAACATGGCAACTCAAAGATCTGACAGGCCACAAACACAAAAGAAGAAAAAGAGACCAGCATGAGACCTACAAACCCACTGACTCTCCAGATACTGGCACACTGGAGGAAGGAGCATTGCTCTGCCTGCATTAAAGTCCATGAGGGCTTTGGCCAGCAACCTTTATGTTCCTCAACCTTTGGTCCACGCTGACAAAGGAGGCTCCTGGAGGACTTCTACGGCCCCTGTGAAAGGTGACCAAGAAATGCAAGTGTCCTCTGAGGGGCTCCTTAGACAACTTTTAAGAATCCACAAATAGAAAAACTGCTTAAAGGTAGCTCTGAAATCCCTGCTGTAAAGACGTATCTTGTGTTAGGAAAGAAGAGGCTCTTTGCTCTGCTGCTGGACAGCCCTTCAGTTTAGCCATTTATTTGCATAATACCCATCGTGCAAAGCTCTGCCAGAAAAAGGTCTGATTAAAGTTATGAAACGCTGTCAGTGATGAGAAAGGTAAGATTTGCTTTTCAACTCTTTTCTCTTAAACTGTCATTAGAAATGATTCATGATAAAGACAAAATCTAAGCAACTACATGGTTAGAACTGAGACCCTCCATAAATTAAAGCTTTTCTTTCTGTTCTTACCCTGTTGTGCTGGATCAGGTTACCAGAACAGAATAACCGTATGAATCCAGAGACAGCCAAGTCTGACGACTGAAACTCAACTGCTACTTGTTTGAAAGGTAAGCGATATCTCAAGAAACACATGTTGGTTGCATGGCTTAAAACAATGGATCCTTGTAGAAAATAATAAACCCCTAGTTAAAAAAAAAAAATTAAAAAGTTACATTGTAAAATGACATTGACCATAAGCAGCAGACTGTCAGGGCACTGACACCACACGCTGCAATACTTCTTTAGGGCTGCTCAGGGAGGGAAATGAGAAAAGAAGAGCAGAGCATTACAAGCATTCACAGGGTATTGAAAGAGGATGAACAGAGAATGTTTTTCCCCCTCGTTTCTTTCCCAAAGAGAAAATTAATGAAAATAGAAATTGGGAAAGCGTGGAGGAGTAAAGGAGCAGTGGGAGATGGAAAGAGAGATGAAAAGTCTATAGCTTACAGGATTATTTTTTTTTAAAGAAGAAAACAGAAAATCTGGGGCTTGAATAGAAACTTAAGAGTTGGAAAGCAAAACCTTCTTATAAATATGACTTCAGGAAAAAACAACAAATAATAAAAATAATATAATGTTCTATTATGACAACTGCATCACAGACACATACTAATTAAAATGCCAACTGCATGTCCACAACCACTAAACATGTTTGGATGACATTAAATAGTTTGGCAAAATGTATTTTGCCAAAAAGAAAGTTGTGTTTTGTTTTTAGCTTAAGGAACATTATGCCCCAGCAAGACTAAAACTCTAGCTCCTATGAGGCCTTTCAAGGAGGCAAGAGGCAAGAAGAGTTGAGACAGCTCAGCTAAAATAAGACATCTGCTTCTCTTGCCCATTGTACAACTGAATTCAAACCTTAGGTGTAGGAAGTTCAGAATCATTTGTTTCAAGTATCCACAGGTGTGATTTTTCCTACCTGAACTGGAAAAGGAAAAAATAAATAAATAAATGCAGAAGACTTTTTTTACTTAACATCTCTACAAAGAAGCCACGTGTTTTTCCAGAACATCTTTTTCCACAAATGACAGCCGCATTTCTGTAAAGGCGGGTAAAGTCTAGATCCACATCCTAATTTCACAGACTCCACATGACATCCAGTCGTGTACCTGTCTAGCAGTTAATGGATTTTTCTCCTCTTACAGTTCGTCCAGATCTGGCCCTCAGGTTCTCATCCCCCTGAGGCCGGTACACACGCCTTGCTCACTGCGTGCACGGGGCTAACAGCGCTCCTGGTCTGTCTGCATTAGCCACCACGACTGAATCCCTGTTGCCATAGATACTGCTACAGTAACATTATAGTTTCCACAAAGATGCTTCAGCAATTTACTCTGGTGATTAAACTGCAGCCATTTATTGCACAGAATAAATAACAGGGCAACGGTGAATTATGGGGCTACGACTCCATCGATGGGTCCCGGTGACATCATAAACCACAAGAACCAAGCTCGAGTCATCAGAACTCCCGAGATGGAATTATAAGCTCCATCATTCAAATTGTGCTCTTTAAAGATATTTGATATAATATATGGAGCCAACAAAATGAAAGAGAGAGAGGCAGAGACAGACCGTCAGGCTCTCAAGGCCAACCACGTACTCTCCTGGCCACCACGAGTCTGAAGCCAAGATTGGTAACAGCTGCAGCTGCCACCGCGGCCGGGAGCGACAGACTGCCAGGCACTCGGCACAGCCAGGTACGCGGCCGCGTGTTGGCAGAGCTACTTGAGATCGATGCTGCCTGTGGGACCGCATGGCTCAGCACGCAGGGCTCTGAACCCTGCAGCCCATCGGGATAATCTCGATCCCCAACAAAGCATCGGGCGCTGCAGATATAAAGAGAGGAATGAGCACGGATGAAGTATTGGCTTCATTTTCTTTGCTAGTTCCTTTTTGTTCTATTAGACGGAGTGGAGTCACCTTTCTCCTAAGGTCTGATGAACTCCAGAGTGAGTGGGCTCAGGTTTTAAGGAGTCAGAGCAATCTTACATCTAACCGTTGGAGTAGCGTAACGATGTTTGTCTTGTGGCTCTGCCTCCCGGTGGTATCAATGAAGCATCTTTTTTAGAACAGACCAAGACTATTTGCTGGCCAAGAATTTTCTTTTCTCTTAGAAGGGGACGGGGCCACATTCTGAGCCTATTGTAAACTGCTGACATTGATTTAAATGAGCCAAGGCTCTGGCTCCAAGCCTACTGTGCTAGGATAGCATATACCTGCAGCTGATGACTGTGGAAGTTGAAAAACATTGATTGCTTCGTACGTTCTGGCCCATTAGATGTTATTTAAAATACTGAAGTATCAGAGAACAGAACAATCTATAAGATTAGTGATAGCAGATGGATCTTCTCACTCATAAAAGTTGTTTGTTTGACTTCAGTGCTTACCAAAAGTTGTCTTTAGCAGCTAGCCAATGTGAAGATTTTTTTCCCTGTTGTTTTGAGAGCTTGGTGCAGCCAGCTATTCGTTTTTTGATGCATTCAATAACATGAAAGACGTAAAATAGTCATTGCCAGCTCACTTTCCTGCTTGAACAGGTCTTCAGATTACAAAAAGTCCCTGGTGGGAAATCACAAAAGAAATGCCAAAGCAGTACTGATCTGGGACAAATGAAAGGGGGGGGCTCTATCTACCTTTTTCTCCCTCTCATCACCATTTCTCAGACAGAATTTTAGGATCAGGGAACTTAGTCTCACTCTAGCAATTCCTCTTTAAATATATACTTAAGGGTAGTATTTTAAAAATCACTCATCGTTGACCTAAAATGTGATGCTATTTGAGGTCAATGTTATATTTTCCATTGGGGACACTTTGACCAATGTTGAGTACTTTCAAAATTTCCACCCATACACACACACATATATATAGAGAGAAGGGAAGAATGTAGAATGATACATGCATCTTAATGTACCATACTAGACATAGACACAAAACCACATTTTTAATAGCTTTCCATATTGATTTCAGAACTATTTATCATGTGCCTGCAGCAGCATACATTTGCAGACTTTAAAAACTAAAGCTAAGCTTCGAAATATTGGGTTTGATCCTAATCTCACTGTAAAATGACAATGTCTCTGGTGAAAATAATTACCCCAACATAAACACAATCAGAAACGGGTAATTTTGTCTCACTGTGTTTCTCTTTTCACCTTCTTTAGGATGGGAAGTTGTGTGGAGCATTTCAGAAGTGCCCATACCTTTTGCAATTTGGCTGTAATGACTCCTTGGAGCTGTATCTGCCTATACCCTCTCTTCTCTGCAAGGGACCCCACCTGCTTCCAACACTGCAGCTTATTTTTTCTTGGTTATCTTAGACATTGGCAAATTACAAGAGGGGATTATTTATCATGTTGATATCCTGATCTTTTTTTTTTTTTTTAACTCCACTTTCTATGGCTGTTGTAGAAAACAAAAGTGGGGAGGGGGGTGTAAAAAACAAAACAAACAAAAAAAGAAACCCACCACCAACAAAAAACAGAGCACCTCACCCTGCATCCCCCCCAGATAGTACCTGTTTCAGAGTGCTTGAAAAGATGTTAATGAAATGCCACATACTTCACCAGTTTTAACACAAATGTTCCCAAAACCTGAATGGAATAGCAACATTCCCTCTGCTGCTTAGAATGCTTAAGACAGGTGGGCGAAGAAACCAAAATGGTATCATGATACCACAACAGGAACTGTGAACACCAAAAGGTAACACCTGAAAAAAATAACTGTGCTTGAAAAAACTCGTGTTACTCAGCTAGTAAGCAATCACTGTGCTCCGTAGATATTCGGATTATCAATGTATCTGTTACAATGAATGCATCAACTCCAATTAGCCAAAGATTATAAAGAACAATCTTCCTTTCCTCTGAAGAACTCAAGGGTAGTGAAATGCTTCTCCTATGGCAGAACACTTCTCCTGTGGCACCATCCCCATTAGCCAAAATGTTCCCACATAAGCAGTTTAAACTGACCTGAAGTGCAGGTTGCTGTTTTCAATCTTGCTCTAAGTTTATTTTTATTGCCTTAGAGAACTGGTAGGTTTCTCTAAAAATCTACACAGTAGAAGGATGATGAATTGCTACGGTTAATTAGTAATTTACTGATTGCATACTTAGCAACCAAACAGAATTTATACTCTATCACACCAATCACAGCATACTCTATCTGGGAAAGAAAATGAGGTAAAGAGATGGTATGAAGCAATGTGTTTCATGAAGACAGCACTCAGCTCTCTAACAGAGCTGCAGTGGGCAGCATCTCAGAAACACCACAAAAAGAGTAATTTTACGAATGGCATAAACGCAGATAGCATAATGATGACAAAGATGTTGCCAGTGGACATTTCCCCTTCACATTAGAATGACATAACCATGTGAGTAAGGTGAGACTGTTGTCCTTACCATCACAAAGCACAGACTTTGGAGACATTTCTAAAAAGACTAAAATTACAAAACAACAGTACAACAGCAAGACAATTAGCAGAGCAGCAGACTTTGGCCTTTTTAAGGATCTACTTGGAAAACAGAGAAGGATGTGGGATTTGAAAGATCTGGATCACCTTTCATTCATTCCAGGTAGAAGCAGACTAAAGCCAAGAATGGGTCTAACTGGGTACAAGCTGACGTGTGTGTTTGTACTCACGCACACATTGTGCACTGCAGTGGGAAAGGAAGCAGGAGAAGCTGTGAAATGTGGCATACTCTTTAAAACACAGGGCCTATTGTCTTACCTGATCAAATCTGCCCTAATCAGGTGCTGGCTCCATTTTAGCTCTTGAACACAAGCTTCTAGAGCTGCAAGGCACACAGTGCACTATAAAACCAAGCGAGTATAGGCCTAGCAGAGAAGGGTAAAAAACCAGACAAATACCATTTTGGTTTACCTGAGATCACTTTCACTTTAGTTCCTTTGCCCAGGTGAAAAGACGTTTTCACCTGACCAGAAAACAAAAGAACAGCAACAGAAAAATCAAATGGGAATAGCAGGAAGTGGGAGCAATGTAAACTGCCAGTTATTTTGTGCATGCTTTTTTTTTCTCCTTCTTTAATTTCAATTTGCAAAGACAGTGAAATGGAAAATGTGCCTCTAATTATTACCCCTCTGTGTTTCCTAAAAGCCTTTCTCTGAACTTTCAAGTCTCCTCAAGTTTCAGGTCCTCTCTCTCTCTCCCTGTCTTTTTCTCTCTCCCCCTTTTTTATTTAAACTAATCTAAAAAAGCTATAAAAAGCCTCTGACACTATAAATTTCCTTGTAAACCCTGGTTTTATAGGTTTAATTGCCTCATTTTACTGCCTTGCATGCTTTGTTCCTTCAGTATTTTAGAGAGCTGCCCCAGTATTTAGTATAAGCAGGCAACTTGGGGGAAAGAGAGGCCATCTCCAAGCCCTCTACTAGAATTTGGATGTGGTCAGAGATTTGGCATGGTTAGCACCCTATGGAGACTGAGCCTTGAAATGGCTCCACTCAGACTCACACATGTGGGAAGTTGACCTAGACAAAAATGGAGAAAAACCTCAGCACTGGGAAATTCAAGTGTCACTTGGCATGGGATAAAATCACGCTCACAAGCCTTGAGGGTATGAGAGAAACCACAAAGGATCTCTCACAGGGGAAGGGGTGCTGGGAAGGTTCCTTTTGGTATTTCTATTACATGAATAGTTATTTCTCAGAGTGTTTCCAAAGTATAATACGAGAATCCCAAGGAATCCTAAGCAAGTAGTAAGGGCACTCTTGTGCTAGGTGTTATACAAGCAAGGTAAAAAAATTGAGAACCTTGGCCAAAGAGCTCCCTGTCTCAACAACTATCCTCTTCAAAGAGAAAAAGGGGCGTGTATGAAAATCCTACCAAGATTTCCCCTTTGTTCTTCATAGTCAGCAGGCTGTCTCTTCATCACAATGTTGATCCTAAAGCCTTGATGCCCAAGCAACTGGCAAAATCCACTTTTGCTTCAAACATACACAGTTCCTAATTCTGTCACTATCTGCTAAACTGACTTCCACAGATCTTAACTAGACACCGTGACTGTCCTGTGTGGTGCATCTTAGGGACAATTAGTGGACAGAACAAGCTAGGGCTTATCCTATCCATGTTCCATCCTTAACCCATGTAAAAAAAGAAAAAGAAGTAATTCACTCCAGAGATGGACAGTAATTGCAGGGCACTAAATCACACCAGGAGACACAGTTTTGAATCTCTCCACTGTATGATTTTAGAGGATGAACTCAGTCTAGGTCTTCTAAAGACAAACCTCTCAAGAAATGTCGACACTTGATCTCTAAAATCTTTCTATGTCATAGGACTTCCTTAATATAATCTGCTCTTCTCTGTTCTCCTAATACCGTAACCTGTGGAATAGATGATCACTTTAAATACTACATCAGATTTCTGCTTAGATTTAAGAATAAAAAATTTGACTGATCTTCTATTTGCAGAATTTATCTTTCTGCAATTTGACAGAAGTCTGTCCTCTGCTATAGTATCCTGTAGGTCCCATGGGTTAGATGGACATACTACATGGTAACCCCAAGCTTCTCTGGAAAAGGCAATTTTTTCTCAGTAATGGAACTGTCAAATGGACTTGCACGTTTGTGATTTTTCTCATTAAAGTACAAATAAAGCACCTTTGTGTGTGGTTATTGCATAGGCACAGTCATCCTGCAGCGATGCTGTGGAAGCTTTTCTCACCAGCTTGAGCCTCAGATCCAAGATCTTAACATAAAGTAAAATCAAACAGCACGACCTAATGCAGACATTTCAGCAAAAGGGTAGGGCACTTTTCCCCTCAAGACAAAATCTTCAGAATCCATCTCATGGCTCCTGGAAAACATCAGATGACATCCTTTGTGTTACACCAAGGATTTATTTGATTATCACATCCAAGTGATCTACTAAGAACAACAGACTGTGCTGGATTTTCTTTCCAAACTCCTTCCTTTCTTTATCAGTTCTAGTTCAGGCATGGGAAACAGAAAATACTAGAAAGAAGGGAGAAATAAATGAAAGCCTAAAAGCTTTCAAACAATTTGGTTTTGGCTTAACTGAGGAAATGGTAAAGGGATCCAAATGTGGGTTTTATTGGCAAATGAAGGTTTTTATTTTTTCTGTGTTTCCCTAAAGAAACAAGGCTTGTGAATCATGATGTGTAGGCATCTGTCACTACTTTTTGGTTTACAGTAACTTTAGACAATATTGAGCATTCTTAACCAAGTATGTCAGAGAGAAAGAAGTCTCAAGATTATTAAGTGTGTGTAAGTTTCATAAATGCTGGTCAGCCAGTAAAGGAGCAAGAAACAAATTTGTTTCCCCATGCTTAATCTAAACCATATAGAAACTTAAATTTCTTTATGCTGTTCACCGAGTTAAGGTTCTCTAAAATGGTTCTCCTAGCTGTGGTATAGGGGAAAGAGACATGCACATTGTATGAGGAACTATTACCTTTGGTTTCTTCTGAAACTGCTTTTTCTGGTAACTGAAGTAAAAGAGTAGCAACCAATTCATTTTTCCAGGCCACTCACAATTTTATAGACCTCTACTGGATCCTTCCTCAGCTGCCTCGCAGGCTGAAGATCCCTGGTCTGTTTAATTCCTCGTCATAGCTACGATGCTTTTTCCCTCTCCTCAGGATTTCTTTTGTTAGCTAGCTCCTGTGAAGAAAAAAAAAAGAAACATTCCTTAGTCATGGAAGGGGAATTTAGCAGTGTGTGTTCATACACATGCTATTCCCTGTGAACAAGCAGATCCTGAAAAAATACACTGCTTGTTTTAGCCATTAAATTGCTGGCAGCAGGGCAGGCAAAGGGAACAACGATGGAAGCCTCAAAAGGGAAAGGAAGAGGAGGGAGAGGCACTTAGAGGATCAAAATCTGGAGGAAAAGTATGTTAAAAACAAATGAACTGAAGAAAGAACTTGTTGTTGGTGAAGTTGATCCTTCATGCTGCCCTGCTATCTTGTAAAAGGAGTTTTATTTGCCTTTTTGTGGGAGTCCTGGGAGGAAACTATTAAAGGAACAGGCTTTAGGCAGTTTGTGGGGATGTGTATATAGGCATATTCGTGAGTGTGTGTGCGTGTGTGTGCTTGTGCGTGCATGACTGTGTGTTTTCTCCCTCCCTTTTACAAGGGCCAGTTAGGTCGCAAGGTTAAAGCCAGGGGGGACTTAGTTTGCGTTGTAAGAATTTTTACAAAGTGTAAAGGATCAAAGTAATTAGCTAAGGGTGAGAGCCCAGGACTGTCAGAGAAGTAATGCAGCCCCTGCCCGGAGTCTTGATCGCAGCCGACCAGACTGAAACTCCAGATCCTGGGAATAAGGTAACCAACAGGTCTGAGCAGCACAGGGTGTGTTGCTAGATATGAGACTTGTAAGGAAGAGGAAAGGCAACATTTTGGATGGAGCGACTGGAAAATGTTCCAGGAGTGTGGCCGGATGAAGCACAGGAGCTTTTAGGTGCGAACATTTTAAAGCCAGCTGTCTGCTGCTGTGAGGGCTGCCAAACCACGCTGGCACTCTTCAGGGAGCAGGCCACTGCTTCCTGCTTCCAGCTGGCCTGCAAAGATTATCTGGAAGCGAGTCAGAGCTCTCTGTCCCGCAGCTTGGTCTTTCACAGCAAGGAGACAGGCCCATGGGGTGACGAAGCATCAAGAAAACAGTGGGTCCCAGGGAGCAGGTCACAGCTACCCACAAGTGGCAGCCAAGCTCCTTCACGCTGGACATCTTTATTGCCGTGCCAGCACTCCTGGCTGCCTGTTGCTCTCAGAATGCTCTCCTGATGCCGTCCAAGTCAACAGCACTGTCACCTACAGAAGCTGTGCCAGGGCAAGTCTCCGTAGTGCTGGAGCATGGAAATTTCTCCTATTACACCAGTCCTGAGCTTCCTTGCCAAAACGTATGAGCAAGAAGCAGCTGAGTCACTCTCTTCCAGCTCCCCACAGGAAGGAGCTTTGACTCTCTAAGCCCACATCGCTTTTCTTGAGAAAGAAACTTTGATGACACAGATCTTCTCTGTCTACTGAAGTAACTCTGGTTTTCATTCCTCAAACTACAGCAGTATATCTATATTCACCTCACAGCAAGAAAATTCACTGTTACTTACATTGCACAATCTATCCGGTGATCTAGTGTTCAAGGTCCCCACACACTCTTTTTTTTTTCCTTCCTACTGTAAAGAGAAATATCCAATATTGGGAAATACATGCTTGAGACAAACTGTTATGGAGAAGTACAGGGATAAGAAAAGACCTCTAGCCAGAGGTCTGCCTAGAGACTGCCCTGCCTATGCATGACTTCCTCTGGCCCAGAGGTGGCTTCCATGTGTAAAAAGCCAAACTACAATGCAAATAAACACAGACTGCACCATGCAGAGGCTCCAAGTCCCTGGAGTCACCCTCAGTTGTGTTCGGCACTAGTAATCGAGAAGAACGGATTATTTTGTGTCTTGGAAATAGAGACCAGGGTCTTCCAGACAGCCACAGAAGAACCTGCTGGGCACTGTACGCTTCATCCAGCTAGGCCACCAGATTCTTTACCTTGTTAAACAAAACCATAGAGAAACTTAAATTGCAGGACTTGTTCAACAAAAAGCCTATTAGCTGCCACTATTAGAATTCACAAAAATAGGAAGGCATTACAGAGTGAAACTCCAGCTTGTGAGGAACTGCACGTCCACTTCACCCAGAGCACTGGGATGGCAGGAGGAGGAGGCATTTCTACACCCCAGCTCCAGCTGCTGTTTGAAAGAAAGGTATTTACTCGTGGAAAAGCTTCTTTTTTAAACTACTGCATTAGTTTTATTAACTGTTCATAATCTACATTTCACCTTTCCTCCCCAAATTATGCTCATCTTTGAGAGAGGAAAAAACATCGATGCCTAACCACAACTTGGCTCAGAGCCGCCTTCTGTCTCCAGTCGCTGTGAGGATGAGTTAGTGCTCTGGAGGTGTTATCGATCTCCAGGCACGGATTGTCTGGCTGCATGCTCCTCGTGTCTCCTACCCTGCACCACTCCACCAACCTGAGATCTTCCCTCCCTTGGCGTCCCTCTGCTTCTGAGCCTGTTTGAGATGCAAAATGTACAGCTGGCAGGTGTGGCTCCATGATGGCCCGCAGCCATTTATCACACAGTTCTCAATAAGCTAATAGCCCTAATGTGTGAAAATTGATTTCTGGGGTGAATGCAAAAGTCCCAGTGATTTACACTCTATTTCCAATTGATGAGGCTCAATTGATTTCAACGAGTACTAAAATATTTACCATAGTGAAAGCAGGGGGAGGGAGCGCGGTGTAGGACCGGGAACAGGCTCATCACTCACAGCAAGGCATCCAGCAGCACTTGTAAACAGCACCGTCAGCCTGTGGAAGGGCCCATCAGGAAATGAAGCATTTGGTGCAAGAGGAAAACTACTTGGTCAGCATTAAGGTACGAGAAGAAGGAAAGCAGTGACAAAAAATGAAGGAAAACGGGATGTGCCGTAAACACAGCCTTCCAGCTTTGGGATGAGCTAAGATTCATGAGGAAAGAGACATCAGCATAGGAATCCTGGAGAAATATCCTTTGGAAAGCACCTTAGCTGCTGTGTGCTGCCAGGACTGGTCTGACCTCCAGGAGGTTTCACCTGTTCATGCAAGCATGCCCCATGAACTCCATGACTGTGAGGCTATGTTTGAGGTTAACGTGGAACCAAGGGCCAGCGAGCTGCCCAAACACCAAACCACAACCACCATCCACTCTGAAGAAACCTCTCCAGAGCCAGCTTCCCGTAAGACCGATGTTTGTGTTGTGCCTCTTCACAGTCTGATGCTCAGGGCACCAGAGGGAAGCCACTGAGTGGGACAACACTGCCCACTACCTAATTCCCAAGCGCCAGCATCCACAAACCAACTGCCCTTGCAAAGCAGATAGCAGAAGGTGGAGAAGGGAATGGAGAAGAACAGAGGTTGGATCATTCTCACAGCCTATGAGCTCACTTGTTTCTATTTTCCTGAGACCTGTAGACTTACTACCCTTTTCCCCAGTCTCTCCTACCTGAACCAACACAGCCAGCTCTCAGCTCCCCCTGCTCTTTCCCAAGCCATCCGATTTATCAATCTGCTCCTCTCCTCCCCTTCCCTTGCCTCTGCAGGGTAAAGTTCCCATTTACCAGATCAAAGGTTAGCTCTTGTCAGACCAAAAGCTTTGATATACATCTCAGCAACTAATCATTTCCAAGTTCAGAGCTGACCCCATATCTTTGTCTTTGTCACTCGGAAGAGATTTCAGAGCCAGAGGCTTGTGAGCATTTCACAGAAAATGATGAAAAGACATCTTTTAGCAATGGGGTCAGATCTAGATCTAGGTGTGAAACAGCTAATAGTCACTGGGTAGAAATTTTTCTAAGAGGTAAGGGACAGCTGGGCAAGGGGGCTTTTGCCCACCACACATCCCCTCGGGACCTTATCACGAGGAAGTGGAGGTGCTGCCCCATTCACCACCCTCAGAACCTGTCCACATGGGACTGCACCTGGAAATCCGGCAGCATTTGGGTCTGCATTTCCAGGTCAGTGCCAGCCCATTGAGCCAATATCGCCACACTCCTTGGGTTTATCATGGCATGATCTATTCTGAGATCATCTCTCAGTAAGTGGTGGTGTATTTCCCGCATTGCTCTGTCTTTGCTGATTTTTTGAAGACGCCTGCATAAGCAGAGTTTCTCTACCTCTTGTCATCCATCTACTCAGGCTGCTATTCTCCCATGATGTCAAAATGCTCTGGGGACTATGAAGTAACAATAAACACAGAAAATAAATTCAGCTAAAAAAAATAATCCTATTTCTACCAACCTCCCAATGCAGCAATGTCAGAAGATCAGGAGCACGATATGCACTGAGCTTAATGTACAGAGTGCAGTGACGTAACCCCTCCCAAATCTACTGCATTACTTGTAGATACAGTGCCAGCTCCTCATCTGGAGAAGATCAGGACAAATTCGTTGAATCACCCAAATGAGAAGCTGCTTCAAAAACATTTGTGAAATCATTAAAGGGAAGAGCCAGGTGATGAGCACTAGGACAACCCCAGCTAACAAAAAGCAAGAAGCCAAAGGGGCTGTATTAGGCTGTAGCAGGCAACTCACTGAAAATTTAAACTTACCATTAGAAATTCTTAGCAAACTCCCAACCTGCCAGCTGCAAAGGAAATTACTGATCACTATTTACGTTATACACCTTTGTCATTCCATTCTTCTTGGAAAGTGCAAATGAAAATACCAGCTTTGCTTCTCAGCAGTTTTGTAGCTTTTTTTTTCAGCCTTCAAATAGTCCAGTCTGACAGCTAAAAGCTTTGGGGTTGAACACTCAGAACACCTCATTGCCATGGAAGTCTTTGTACTAAAACCTTAAACTTAAAACCTCGCCCTTTACTTCTCAGCATACTGAATGGAAACATAATTTTGGCTGCTTTCTTCTCATCCTGGCACTCTGTGGCAGATCCTTCAGCAAGAAGTTATTTGCCCAAGCAAAAATACTTCTGGCTGCTACGAAAAGAGCCTTGCGAGCATGTTTGCTTTTCTCATTTCATTTGAAATAGCAGAAAAGGAGAGAAGTAAAGATATTAACGCTACCACCAAGTGAATATTGGTCAGCTACAGCAGTGATGATTTCCGTATAACAGCTCA